TATTATTGCACAAAGTAAACTCAACAGAAAATTTATTTAAGGCTTTCAAATGATTTCTCATAAAATTCATTCCTTCAGATTTAAATTTCCCAATGCAATAACGTAAAGTAGTTTGTCTTGTATTAAGCTCCTTTACTTCATTTTCAAAAAGTAATTTAATTAAGACTGGATTGAAAATAATATTATCAAATTCAGCTTCTTCATAACCACAACGGAAAAATCGTTCCAACCAATAGCGAACAATACATATTTCTTCTATATTCTTAGGAAATAATGGTAACTTCAAATTGAATCTGCCGTATCCCATCTTTGCATCTTAAAAATATATAAGTACAGACCGATCGGGGTCAGTATAGTACGTGGGATCCAAGACCTAGATTAGAAATATTCTAGGAGACGAAAACTCGAGGAGATACATGCACTTGAAAATTGAAAAACTATAGGGGGGGGGAGTGCGGGGCCAAGCTGATTTTTGGTGTGAAAAATTATATTGGCATATTTCGCCTTCGCGCATATTAATGAATATTTTGGTCCATATTTAGGTAAATTTTGTTAAATTTTATTAGAAATTGGCCTAAATTTTGCAAATTTAGGAATTATTAAAGTGAGTAAAACTCACCTTATTACCTTATCTCATGGGTCCCAAAATTTTCAAAATTTTCGCCTGCGGTGCCAGAAACGGAAGAAAGCTGGTGGCAAGCCTACAAAGTTTTCAAAAGGAAGAAGTATGGGGTATATCGGAGGATTTGCATGGATTAAGAAGGATTGGAGTTATATTTGAAAAGATAATCGGGAATTTAATTTTTATGTCAGCCAGATCCCTGGTATAAACCTAGGAGAGGTCCGACGCTTTTAGATTATATAAAAAACAAAATTTACATTCTTCATTAGTTTTGCGATGTTTATGCAAAACAATAACAGCCTCACAAGATTCATTAAAACTCAAAAATAGAGGAATGTGTTCGCTCACTGCAATTTCACACTTAAATTAATTTTGGTCTCAACAAATCTCTCAGACTCTCGGAAAACGAGAAAGGAGTTTAGAGAGCACCCCTGTTTTTTTCAAAAATAACTTTAAATTTTAGAAGACCTCTTCAGAGGTCGACTCTATAAAATAGGTGCTTCTATCGAAATACGGTAGATGGAGAATGATTTTGTGTGAGAGATGAATCGAGATTATTTTCTTAAACATTTTTTACCTTTCTCTTGAGATAATCGTCTTTTAATGAAAAGTCACAAGGCTTTACTTTAAAATCAAGGTCCGTAGAAATAGTTTTATATACCCATTGGTCCATGACTAATTTATCAATCTTGAAGAATAAATTTGGCTATTATGACTTATAAGGGGTTGGTACTTATGAAGATGGAGGTGCCCTTTCTGCGGACTTTTTTGCGGACTTTTCTTCCTTTCTTTCTAAATGTTTTGGTTGTCTTGCTTTCAGCAAGTTTTGCTAGTAGCAATTAACTATCAAAGGATTATTTTGTATGCCATTTGAAAAATATATGTTCACAATTAATTTAAACGTTATAGACGCTAAAAATGTTACAATCAATAAAAAATTTGTTAATTACCGATGATGAATTTCAACATAGGATCACAGATCTCGGAATGCTTCATAGAAAAAGGGTATGTGATTGTGGAACAGAAATGCGGGTACTTTCAAACCTTGTCCCCCCCCCCCCCCCCCCCCGCCATTATTTTTATTACCTAAGATTGTACAAAATGGTCAGATTTCCTTCTTCCTCTCTTTCCTCTATTTGAGCTTGGCATATTCAAACAAGAGACATTGTTGATAAAGAGAAGATTAAAATTAATTGAGTTGTTCAATATTGAGTTCAATTTATTTTTTTAGTTGTTCAATATTTTTAAATATAAGTAAGAATGTAATGTTTTTAGACAGAAATTCATAATGTTATACACCAAATTAATTTTATTTAATTCTTTTTTTGTTTAACACTAGCGGAGGGGGTCGCCCTTCGGGCGAGCCCCTTCCGCTAGCCAAATTCTAAACATTACAATTCTAAACATTATCAACTATTAACTAAGATTTTCAACTATTAACTATTAATATCTATTTCAACTATTAACTATTAACTAAGATTTTCAACTTTCACTATTAACTATTAATATCGATGTAAACTATTAACTAAGCTTTTCAACTTTCACTATTAACTATTAATATATATGTCAACTATTAACTAAGAATTTCAACTTTCACTCTTAACTATTAATCTTTTTTTCAACTATTAACAATGTCACTCATCTATCTCAGTCATTACCGTTTTTTCACTCATTATGGGACCGTTTTCTCAAGCCTATTGAACACTACATACCTATATTCTTTTTTCTATTGACGGGCTCTTTTATCTTTTTTATTGAAGAATCCTTTTCTCACGCCATTTGACGGACACATTTCTATTGCTTATTGCTCGAAATCTCTTCTTCCCAATATTGTCAGACCCTTTCCACCCGTTTACGGGTCCATTTTCGCTTACCATTATTCCAACCATCGCCAGACCCTTTTCACCCATTTACGGGACTATTTTCGCTCACCATTATTCCAACCATTTCCAGAAACTTTTCACCCTTTTACGGGTCCATTTTCGCATACCATTATTCCAACACCCTTTTTACCCATTTACGGGACCGTTTCGCTCACCATTATTCCAACTATTTCCAGACTCTTTTCACCCATTTACGGGACTATTTTCGCTCACCATTATTCCAACCATTTCCAGAAACTTTTCACCCTTTTACGGGTCCATTTTCGCATACCATTATTCCAACACCCTTTTTACCCATTTACGGGACCGTTTCGCTCACCATTATTCCAACTATTTCCAGACTCTTTTCACCCATTTACGGGACTATTTTCGCTCACCATTATTCCAATCATCGCCAGACCCTTTTCACCCATTTACGGGACTATTTTCACTCACCATTATTCCAACCATCGCCAGACCCTTTTCACCCATTTACGTAACTATTTTCGCTCACCATTATTTCAACCATTTCCAGACCCTCACCCATTTACGGGATACTTCTCGCTACCATTATTCTAACCATTTCCAGACCCTTTTTACCCATTTACGTAACTATTTTCGCTCACCATTATTTCAACCATTTTCAGACCCTCACCCATTTACGGGATACTTCTCGCTCACCATTATTCCAACCATTTCAAGACCTATTTCATCCGGTTACGGGACCCTTTTCGCTCACCATTATTCCAACCATTTCCAGACCCTCACCCATTTACGGGATACTTCTCGCCTACCATTATTCTAACCATTTCCAACCTAACTATAATTATGTTAAAAAACAAACCTCACAAAAATAAACCAACGGTTGGACACTCGCCTTGTTTAAAATAAAAGATAAGCACTGAAAAACAAACTGTTGGACACCCACGTTGTCTAACTAAAATATTGTTTTGATTTTGAACCTAAAAACAATTTTCAAATAAAACAAATTTAAAAAATCAATTAAAACAATCAAAACACATCTTAATACAATTAACAAACAAAAAAAAATAAAAAATTCCAGCAAAAAAATACAAAACAAATTCTAAAAAATTCACATTTTTTCTTTTCTTCTCTAAATACACACTATTTTCTTTTTTGGGATATTTTGTCATTTTTAAATAAAAATTAAACACAACGCCAAACACAGCAAATTTTAAAGCTGCGGACAGACAAACAGACAACAATTCTAAAATTATATATAGGATAGTTTTCGGAGGCAAAAAATAAGTGTATGACTACATATAAAATTAATCTTCTCTTTATCACTGTCTCTTGTTTGAATATGCCACAGGGCAAAGAGAGGAAGGAGAGGAAGAAGAAAATCTGACCTTTATGTACAATCTTAGGTAAGAAAAATAATAGGGGGAGGATCGTACAGTTAGTTGCTACAAGTAAAACATTTAAATAAGGGAAGAAAAGTCCGCAAAAAAAGTCCGCAGAAAGGGCACCACCATCTTCAGGAGTACCGAAAAAAGATTTTTAGAAAGGAAAAAGACTACTGTTGTCCTTATGGGATCACCCCTAAATATCGACACCCAAAATATCGCCACCCTAAATATCGACACCCAAAATATCGAATGATCCTAAATATCGACACCCAAAATATCGCCACCCTAAATATCGACACCCAAAATATCGAATGATCCTAAATATCGACACCCAAAATATCGCCACCCTAAATATCGACACCCAAAATATCGAATGATCCTAAATATCGACACCCAAAATATCGCCACCCTAAATATCGACACCCAAAATATCGAATGATCCTAAATATCGACACCCAAAATATCGCCACCCTAAATATCGACACCCAAAATATCGCCACCCTAAATATCGACACCCAAAATATCGATTGATCCTAAATATCGACACCCAAAATATCGCCACCCTAAATATCGCCACCCTAAATATCGACACCCAAAATATCGATGATCCTAAATATCGACACCCAAAATATCGCCACCCTAAATATCGACACCCAAAATATCGAATGATCCTAAATATCGACACCCAAAATATCGCCACCCTAAATATCGACACCCAAAATATCGAATGATCCTAAATATCGACACCCAAAATATCGCCACCCTAAATATCGACACCCAAAATATCGCCACCCTAAATATCGACACCCAAAATATCGATTGATCCTAAATATCGACACCCAAAATATCGCCACCCTAAATATCGCCACCCTAAATATCGACACCCAAAATATCGCCACCCTAAATATCGCCACATCCTCGACAATCTTCCAATAACTCTTTGAATTTACAATCTTCTTTCTTCTTTGATTTATTTTCAACCATCCGAATGCAATTTTGTTTCAAATCCATTGCAGAGTCAGGAAGACCTACAATAAATATCAATATTTTCATTTCTTCAATAGTCAGATTCATTTCTGACTTTTCACATTCGGCATTTACGAGATTCCCAAATTGCAATATATTTTCAAATTCATTACATTTCAATTTCAGCGTATCGAAACGCTTTAGCAATTTGGACCTCGGGTCCCCAAACTCCTCTTTCAATTCAATTAACAATTCCCCATATTTCAGGTCTGATAATTTTCGTGGCAATAATTTTTGGGCAATTTTAGAATATTCGGGACCACCTAATTTCGCAATAAGCAATCTAGCTTTCATTTCATCACTCAATGTGGCCCCCTCAATTTCAAAGTACGATTTGTACTTATCGTACCACGTTTCGAACGTGAATGCCCTTGGAATATCACAATGGAACTCAGAAATCAATTTATGCAATTTACCATATAGCGCTGCTCCTTCTTGATGAAGCGAAGTTGCACTATCAATATTCGGCGTATTGCCCAATTTTTTCAACAATTCTGCAATCTGATTTTGCTGTAGCATTAATTGTTTGTTTTGGTGTTCCTGAAGTTCCTTTTGCTGTTGATTGAATTTGTTTTGTTGTTGTTCAAGGAGTTTTTGAATGTCTTCCGCTTTCATCTTGACAATCAATACAATATTTTTTCAATGAACAATTAACAAGCCACTAACCTGATTTGTTGTCTTCAATACAATTTACAATTGCTTCTTTGTCGACCAATACAATTTATTGAATCCGTAGTCGATCCGCGCCAATTTTGTTGTGTCTCTGCACAACAAGAAATAAGCAATTACAATAATGTGTTTATCACACACAAAGAAATACAATAATGTTGAAGTACAATAAGGTTGGGATAATATTAGGAGACAATTAGGAGACACGGACTGACAATTGTGTGAGGCTTTTATACTAGCCACCACACCACAACAGGCGGTATGCAAAAAAGGAGGTAGGGGTTAACCAACCCTCAGCTGCGGGTAGTTTAACCCAGAACCCTTATTCAAAAATGGAGGTACGGGTAACCCGCAGCTATGGTTAGTTACTCGGGTAATAGAACCCGCATCTGCGGGTATGGTTCTTACCCTTATTCAAAAATGAGGGTTGCAGGTAATAGAACCCGCAGCTGCGGGTAAGATTTTAACCCTGCTCCGATGAGGGTTAAAATCTTACCCGCATCTCTTTAAAAATTTCTTAAAAATCCTATTTCAATCGAAAAATTACAAATTAAATATTTTTAGACAGATTAGAGTGTGCTCTATTTTTTGATATAATTTTTAAAAATTTTTTTTGAGAAATAAATTTACTATAAATTTTCGCGTAAAGTACCCCATTTTTGAGCGAAAAAGGGACTCATTCTCTCCAATAGGCAGCTGCGGGTAATCATCGAGTTCTGGGTCGATTTTTTTTGAATAAGGGTTAACCCGAGTTCTATTACCCAGGTAATAGAACAAATCAAACTAAACAATCAAACTAACAATCAAACTTCAACCTGTAGTTTCAGAATTTATTTTGTCAAATCATCTTTTGAAAAAGGTTGTGAATTAAATTTTTATTTTTGATTAGGTTATTCGAATTTTTTCAGTGAAAAACGGCTATGGCTGAATCTATATGTTTATTTGAATATGATAAAAATTTGTGCAATACAGATTTTGCTATTCGAATAGAGAAAAAAGGTTTTTTTTCATTTTATGATTATTGGCACTATAAAAAGATATCCTCGGCTTTTCATTTCCTTTCTTTTTATATTCGGAAAAATTTCGTTATACGACACAGACGCCGATTAGGTCGAGTGATATGTCATTCGAAAGAGCTCGTCGAGCTGAGTCGAATGGTGAAAAAATTTTCGTGCGGACTCATAAATGGGCCGAGATATAGGGCTCGAAATGGTCAAAAACCATAGGGGGGACCAAGCACTTTTTTGGGGTGAAAAATTCGAAAATGCAAATAATAACTCATTCGAAAGAGCTCGACGAGCTGAGTCGAATGACACCAAAATCACCGTGATTGAACAAGATTAGACAAAGTTAAAACACAAAAAAACAAAAAAACCTAAACCTATGGGTCGTCGGCGAGGCGCTTGTGCAAAACCCCGCGCTTCGCGCGGGGTGAATAATATATTTGTGTTGAATAAAAATATTTTGTTAATAGTTTTGTTTTAAAAGTTTTTAGTTAAGTAGAGACCAGACTCCCAGGGCGTCTCTCGAAGGTCTCTCGACCTTCGGGAGACCCAACCCTGGGAGGGTATCGAATTTTCTTAATATGGAGGTCCTAGGCGGATCATATTTTCTTTATTACATTTTGTTTGATTTTCCGCCTCCGCATCTTCCGCTTTTTAAAAAATATTTTCCGTATCTCTCTTATTAAACGTTTCAAAAACAAACTTTATAACAAATTTATTTCAACAAAATAACAATTAGCAGTCAAACGTTAACAAGGTTGTTTGCTGTGAAAAATAATAACATTTTAAATTAAACTGCGGAAATAAGGAGAGGTTTTGGAAGAGAAAAGTTAGGTTTGGGACGATTTTTGGGAATAGGACGGGCAGGAACAGTTCGGCGGGTAAAATAAACAAAACAAATCAAAACAAAAATCAAAAATAGAATTAATCCCTGAGTGAAATGTACGATATATATGTGTTGAGTGACAGTAAAACGACTATTGGCAGTAGTTGTTGGGGCGGACGGGGTTGTAGACCCTAAAACAATATTGGGTTGTTCCATAGAGCAAAAAATGGGATTTTCCCACTCGAGCAGACCCCAGCAGTGGTAATGGCATTCCATTTCATCCGGACATTCGACTTGTCCAAATTCCAAAGGGGCTAAAAAAATATTAAAAAATTTTAAATTCCAAATATAATAAAATACAAAAACACAAAATAAAACACAAATCCACAAACTATAAAACCACCAAAATATTCTTTTCTAAATTAAGAAGGGGCAAATCGCAAGGTCCAAAAATCACACCTTTCCAAAAATATAAAAAAAAGGGATCCCTCATATATCAAATACCTATAAGAGGTAAAAGAATAAAAAAAAGTGTTCACGTGAAGAAGAAAATAACAGCGGTCATATGTTTTTACTCGCGGCCGGATGCCTGCCCAACCAAGACTCAAAGGTCATACCACTCGTCAAATCAAAACTAAACTCACCGATCATCCCCACCAATTTGCTGTAGAGTTCGGTTTCGTTCATCTCACTCGGCTTCAGCAGGTTCACTAACAATTTCTCAAAATACTCCTGTTGAGCCTTCAACAATTTGTCCAATGCCTTTGGATCCATTTCACTAAAATACAATTTTTTTTATCACTACACTTTAACACTAAACACTACAATTTCACTAACCTTTTCGGTTTTTACAACACTGCAATTGTCCACACACTTTTTCTTTCCTGAACTGCACACAGCTTTCGTTGACGCCACACAGCTTACTGAAGTTGACGAACTTGACGAAACCAGGTTCTTTTGCAGGAGACCGCGCCAATTTGTTATGACCCCGCTTACGTAGAGAGGCTAACAAATACGTTTATCGCACAATGAAATACAGAGCAGGTGAAGGTTGTAGGAAGAACTAAAACTGGGAGCGAGAACTAACTATTGGCTATCCTTTTATACTAACACTTCAAGGGCTGACGCCCATACACAACAGTGTTGTTGTGGTAGTCGTGGTAGTAGTACGTCTAAAATTTTGTTTTTTTGTAACTTGCCTCTTTTGAATGATTCTTTCAGTTGTGTTTAAAATTAATATGAAAACGTCATTGTCCATTGGCCAAGCCTCCCCAGGAACACCTAATACCTCAGAATTTCTTGAAATGTTCTCGGACGGCGCGAAAACATATTGTAATTCGTTAACTTTAACTAATCCATTTAAAGAATTATTTTTGTAAAATATCTCTGCTGGTACTGGCCCAAATGAATAATGGGTATAAATATAATCTTCCGAGGGAGCGTTCCAACCAATAACAGAAAGTAATTTTTCTTCATCTTTAAAAGAACCATTTATAGTATGAAAATCTAAAGATTTTGAGACTCCAAAACTAGTCTCGAATCTTTTATTCATTAATGCACCTTCTCCTTCCTCCAAAAAATAATGTTTATCTATAACACAATTCTGTCCAAACCACGCATATTCTAAATCATTATTAAATGAAACGGACCATAAAACTTCATTCATTCTTCTTAATTTTGTGCTCTTAGCCAAGTTCCAACAACTTTCTGGACTTAATGAAAATATTTCTCCTTTAACTGGTAGATCCTTTTTAAACCACGACTACCACAACAACACTGTGGTAGTCAACAACACTGTGGTAGTCGTCAACAACACTACCACAACAACAAATATTTCTCCTTTAACTGGTAGATCCTTTTTAAACCACGACTACCACAACAACACTGTTGTGTATGGGCGTCAGCCCTTGAAGTGTTAGTATAAAAGGATAGCCAATAGTTAGTTCTCGCTCCCAGTTTTAGTTCTTCCTACAACCTTCACCTGCTCTGTATTTCATTGTGCGATAAACGTATTTGTTAGCCTCTCTACGTAAGCGGGGTCATAACAAATTGGCGCGGTCTCCTGCAAAAGAACCTGGTTTCGTCAAGTTCGTCAACTTCAGTAAGCTGTGTGGCGTCAACGAAAGCTGTGTGCAGTTCAGGAAAGAAAAAGTGTGTGGACAATTGCAGTGTTGTAAAAACCGAAAAGGTTAGTGAAATTGTAGTGTTTAGTGTTAAAGTGTAGTGATAAAAAAAATTGTATTTTAGTGAAATGGATCCAAAGGCATTGGACAAATTGTTGAAGGCTCAACAGGAGTATTTTGAGAAATTGTTAGTGAACCTGCTGAAGCCGAGTGAGATGAACGAAACCGAACTCTACAGCAAATTGGTGGGGATGATCGGTGAGTTTAGTTTTGATTTGACGAGTGGTATGACCTTTGAGTCTTGGTTGGGCAGGCATCGGTCCTATTTTGAGGAGGAGGGTAAAACCCTGCCAGAGTCCTCTAGAGTGAGATTATTGTTGAGTAAATTGGGGCCAGAAGAGTATGCCCAGATTGAAAGGAAGTTGCTGCCAACTAAATTGAGTGAGATGAAGTTTGACGAACTCTGTAGTGAATTAGTGAAAGAGTTTAGTGACCATAGGTCCAAATTGTTGAAAAGGTTCGAGGCCTTAAATGTTAAGTGTAGTAATCTCCAAGATATTGTTGAGTTTGGGAATTTAGTGAATGCTCAATGTGAGCGCGCGGACATGGCCTTGTCAATTGAAGAATTGAAAATTCTTATTTTTATTTCAGGTTTGCCAAGTGATGCAAACTCAGTACGACAAGTCGCCATGAAGAGTGTTGAAAATAAAAGTGAAAAGGGGCACACAGTGACATTGAAAGAAGTTATTGAAGAGTGTCGGGCATATTTGGCCAATAAAAGTGAAGCCTTGTATATTGTCAAGGAGAAAAGTAGTGAAGTCAAGAAAGAAATGCCTGAAGTCAACACAATTCAAAAAGTGAAGTGTTGTGAAAAGAGTGAAAGTGAAAATGGTAGTGAGTGCAAAAAACAGTGGTCCAAACCAAACGTCAAGTACCAGCAAAATGTTATTGAAAAGAAGTGTAGTCATTGTGGACGTTTTGGTCACTGGCGTATGCATTGTAAGTTCTTGAAGAATAATCAGTATCAGCCAAAAAGGCAGTGGAGTAATGATAATAATCATTCAGGTTCACCATATTGTGCAATACTGGACATCTTCGATCCATTGCAAAGTGTAGAAAAAGAAGAGTGGATTAAACAAAGAGTGAAGTTTGGAGAAGTGAGTGTTGAAATGATTGTCGATACTGCTTCGCAGATCAATGTTGTCACTAAAGAAATTTGGAAAAGTATTGGTCAGCCAACAATTGAAAAAGTGAATTACAGTGGTATTGGGCTGGGTGACAACAAGGTAGAAATTGAAGGAAAGTTCAAAAGCAAAGTGAGAGTGAAAGACAAAGACGTCTTTATGGAGTTTCATGTAGTGAATAGTGAAGTGAGTATCTTGGGTTTGCCAGGCTTGAAAGAAGTGTCAGTGCAAAATCAGAAGTCAAAGTACAACAAGTGGAGTAAAAAGAAGGCAAACTTCAAGATACAGAAAAATGCGTTCCCGAACGGAACAAAAGTAAAAGTGAAGAACACCAACAAAAGAAGTGGCAAAGTGGAGTGGCTCAAAGGTGAAATAGTGCGCAAGACGGATAATGCCTGGAAAATCAAAGTGCCAGTGCTAAAGAGTATTGTGACCAGGATGTATAAAGAAATCCGTCATGATGAGTGGAGTAATAAGAAGAAATTGTTGAATGAAGAGATTCCAAAAATGAATATGAGTGAAGAAAAAGTGTTGAGTGATAGTAGTGTAACTTCATCGAGTGCCAGCACTTGGACAGCTCAAAGAAGATCAAGTCAAAGATGAAGGACAACACAAATGGGAACAAGTCAAAGATGAAAGATGCGGAAAACGACGATAATAATATGGAGACGTAGATGTGCGAAGTAAATAAATATATAAAATTTTGTGATAATATTATTGTTGTATTTTTTTGTAATGTTGTATTATTGTTTGTTCCCATTGTCCTTATTCCCCCAAATTTTTGTATGTATTTTGTTTGTTTTGTTTGGCTAAAAAGTGTGAGTATATTGTAAAGCTTCGGCTTTAAGTGAAAGCCGAACCTTTTTTTCAAGGGGGGAGGTGTTGTGTATGGGCGTCAGCCCTTGAAGTGTTAGTATAAAAGGATAGCCAATAGTTAGTTCTCGCTCACAGTTTTAGTTCTTCCTACAACCTTCACCTGCTCTGTATTTCATTGTGCGATAAACGTATTTGTTAGCCTCTCTACGTAAGCGGGGTCATAACAAACACCAATTCCACCAACTATTAAAACAATAAAAACAACAACTCGTCCATTATTAACCACAAAAAAGCCAATATTAAGTACAAAAACCACACCTATTCATAATAAAAGAATGTATACAACACCTTCAATTGATCCAAATTATCGTCTCCCAATACAACAACAAATTAAAAATAATTATTTGAAAGGAGATCAAGGTATACCGGGCTCAGATGGAAGACCTGGAGCACCTGGAGAAAAAGGAGACATGGGGTATACTGGACCTAGAGGAATGAAAGGAGCACCTGGAGAAAAAGGAGATATGGGTTATACTGGACCTAGAGGGTCAAAAGGAGCTTCAGGGCAGAATACTGCGCCCGGATTTAAAGGAGAAAAAGGCGATAATGGAATACCTGGAAGGCCTGGACAAGTTGGATTACCAGGGCTAAATGGGAAAAATGGTTTGGATGGACTACCAGGACCTCAGGGTCCGGCTGGACCTAAAGGCGATAAAGGAAGCCCAGGTATTAATGGTAAAAATGGATTACCTGGACCAAAAGGAGAACCTGGACTTTTGGATGAAAATTTTAAAATCTTCTCTACTTTGGCACCCTTAAATAAAAGAGAATTGTTTGATCCCGAGGAAGCACAAAAGGAACGAGATAATAAAATTAAGGATAATCATGAGAAAAGTCGATTAAATTATCTGTCATGGGAAGAATCCCAAGCTCGAGAGGAAATAATGAGAGAACAGTGGAAAATTACTTGCCAAAATAGAAATCAACAACTACAAATCGCTAAAATTATAGCTGAAACAAATCCCACCAAAGCAGCAAGATTACTCTATGGGAGAAATGATTTAATAGCATCCTTGGAAAATGGAATAAAATTAAAATGGAATTTAGGATTATGTACCCCAGTCAATGTTGAAGAAATAATATGGGATCAAAAAGTAGAGGATAAATGTTATGAATTATTGCCTGTAAAAATAAGAGGTAAATTATTGTTTGCCTCACCAGGAAGCCCTGATCTGGTATTTGATTCTAAAACAAAATCTTGTGAGGAACAACGAATAATATTCAACAAAACAAAGTTATTAAATTTTGATCAAGAGAAGCATTCATTAAAAATTAACCCAATAATTGAAGTAAAGACAGGCATTCTTGTTAAAACTGGAAATAAATTTGAGGAAGAGAAAGCAGAGGTGAGAGATCTACAAAAATTTTCAGATTTAATTCATCACTCTATTACATTGCCGGAGGATATTAAACGGCCAGAAGAAGAGGATGTACTCTCAGAGATGTTAGGCTTTCCAAAAATACTGGAAAATGGAAAAAATATTACAAGGGAAATTTTTGAAAATTTGAAGGAGAATTTAGAGTTTGGTGTTGTTGGAAAAGGGAAAGAATTGGCAGAAGATATTCACAATAAAGGAAGTGAAATTATTTCTGGGGCAAAGGAATTCATCGAGGATAAATGGTCATTCATGCAGAGATTATATTGGATTTTAATGGCTTTCCTAATTTTGTCAGCCCTATTAGTAATTACTTATTTATCTTGGAAATTTCGTGCCTTATTCTCTATTATTTGGAAAGGAATATTGATCGGGCGATCGTTTATTAGAATTTTCTTTGGAGGAAAGGGTAGCAAACAACAAAGACGAGAAATTAAAGTTAATGCTATTGAATTGGAAGAAAAATCCCCTACCCCTTCAGCGCCCACATTAAATCAATTAGAAGAGAAAGCATATATATTGGACTATATCCCATCGATTTGTGCTGTGCTAAATCGAAAAAGATGCTATATTGAAGTAATTTTGGAGGGAATAAGACAAAAAGCGTTAATCGATTGCGGAGCAGATATTTCTTATTGTGGAAGATCAGTCGCTATAAAATGTGGAATGAAAACTAAATCGGGAGATGTGCCAATGGCATGGGCGGCTAATTCAACCCCAATCTCATTTTTAGGGTCGGCAATGGCTACAATTGAAATAGGAGATTCTAAGTTGAGATGGCCATTACTAATATCAGAAGATCAAGCTTGTCCGGGAGGATTAGTAATTGGAACCGACTTCATGGAAGAAAAGGAACAAATCCATTTAAATTTTAAAAATATGACCATACAATTGGGGGAAGATGTTTTACCAATGATAGCCTCTATGAAGTTTATGGAAATACCAAAGAAGCAGCTTGAAATAAGATTACTGAAAAACCATGTCTTACCACCACAATCTGATTCTTTTGTTTGGGGAACAATAAACAGAAGTTTTGACCCTACACAGGAATTTCTATTAGAAGAGTGGGAAGATCATGATTATTGGCCATTAAAAGTCGGAAAAACGTTGTCTAAACCAGGATCATCACGTTTAATTCCATTACGATTATTAAATTTTGGAAATTCGCCCCTGCAAATTTATGCTAAGTCTAGAGTTGGAATATTGGAGCCAATTATTCAAAATAAAAATGAAACAAATTCTATTGAAGTATTTAAAAGGAAGGATGAATATGTTTCCCCCGAAGTTAATTGGGAGGATGAATTACCTAATTTACCAAATCCTGAGGATAAAAATGAAAAAATTTCAGAAAAACTTAATTTAGAGGGTACAGCTTTATCTAATGCTACGCTTACATAAAAAACGCTGGCGTTTCGCGGAAAACGCTGGCGGAAAAAAAGCTGGCGGAAAACGCTAAAAAGTGCTTACATAAAAACAGCGTTTTCTGCCTAGCGGAAAACGCATTGCGGAAAACGCTAGTTTTATGTAAGCACAAAACAGCGTTTTCCGCCGGCGTTTTTTCCGCCAGCGTTTTCCGCTAAACGCCAGCGTTTTTTATGTAAGCACTCAAATATTTTGAAAGAAATTAAAAATGAAATTTTTATCAAACAAATTAATAAATTTAAACCATTTTTTCTTGCCAAGAAACGGATCCAATATCACTATTAAAATAATTCATTAAATTTTCTCGCATCTTTTTCGCCTCAACTGGCCAATTTCTTGCATGATTTTGAATTTGTTGAATTGATGGAAGGGGTTCTGAACCAGATAATAAGTTGCGCCATTCACCATTTTCTAAATCTCGATTTACTTCTGTTTCATGATCAACCATCGAAAGTATTTTATTTGTAGCTGATTCATCAATTAAAAAATTATGTAATACAATAATAGCACGAATAATCCAGTTTGCCGATTCAATATTTGTTTCGATAGGTTTTAAAAGAATTCGCCATTTTACACACATTATACCAAAAACATTCTCAATAACCCTTCTAGCTCTTGAAATTCTATTTAAAATTTAAATAATTTAATTTTATAAAATAAACCTGTAATTGTAAATCCGTTGCTGATGTGAAAGTGCATTGCCAGCAAAAGGTTTCATAATGTTCAAAGAAAGTGGAAAAGCCGCATCAGCAACAATGAAATAATTTATTTTGTCTGAATCAGGCAAGCCTGGTAAATGGGTTGGTTCAGGAATATTCAACAAATTATCATTCAATTTTGCTTTCAATGAAGACGAAGAAAAAACATTGGCATCGCCTTTATATCCATACTCACCAACGTCAACATAGAGAATTCGATAACTAAATATTAATTTTAAAAATATTTTAAAACTAAAAAACCGATAATCACACAAAGCAAGCATATTTAAAGAAAAACTATCCTTATAGTCATGATACAAGCTTCCTGAATTATTTGGTTTACGAACTCGAACCAATTTTCCATCCAACGCTCCTAAATTGAATTAAAATATTAAATTGTTTTTATATTTCTCACAAACCAATACACAAAGGCATATTCCATCTTTTTTCAAATCCATTTGCAATATTTTTCCATTCTTCATTTGATGAAGGCAATTTTACATATTTTTCGTGCAGTAACCAAATAGCCTTCGAAACACGTCTTACAATTAAAGATATTGTTGAATTGCTTCTACGAAATGAATATTCAAGTGCACGATATTGCATTCCAGTTGCAAAAAACGTAAACAAATGATTAACTGTTCTTCGGGTGAAACTCCTCTTTTACTCTTCAACTCAATTCTAAAAAATAATACTTAATTTAAAAATTTATAAGAAACAACTTGGATTTAATCTGTGCTAAAAGAAGATCAAATTCACAACAGGACATTCTTGAATAACAATAAAATTTTTCTTCATCTTTGCGTAATTGCTCAAACAAAACTACAAATTCACCTTCAGTTTGTTGTTTGGAAAGTAATGGGTGAACCCATAAACGTTTCTTCTTTCTCTTCCTCATTCTTCTTAATCTTATCAATTTTAAAAATAAATCCAGTTTTTTCAATATTCCTGGAAGCATTAACTGAAAATATTATATAAATTTAATATACCTAATTCAATAAAAAATAATGTAACGTAAAATAAACGCCATAAAATATCTAAATTAATTTGTTTTAAATTTTATACAAATATCAAAATATTTTTAAATAATTAAAAGTTTTGGAAAAGATTTTCCGCTTCTTCAAAAGCTAAACTTTTTCTTGATTTTAACTCAATTAATAAATTCATAATGCTTGTTTTTGCTTCATTTTGTAATCGTGTTGAAAGATTTTTAATTTCTGATCCAACATACAAACCAAATTGCTTATTTGGCGATGAATCATTTATATTTTCTTTAATTTGCTTAGCCAATTCAATAATACAATTATCAACAGCGTCATCCTTGTCCGAGTCAGAAATTCGCCGACGTTTTGAAGGCAATTTTTGAGTAAAAATTTTTTCATTTTCATCATCACTTGAACTCATTGAAATAGTACAATTTAATAAATCTTTAACATCATTTGGAATAGACGTTGTTTGAATTGAATCAATCCTACTATAAATTTATAAATACAATATAAACTAAAATAGAACCTTGAACAATTTTCTTTTTCTCCTTCCAAAAAATTCATTAAATTTAAATAAGGCCATTTAACATCTTTACCATCAGAACCTGAAGCTTTTGGTTTTTTTAATTTGGAGTAATAATCACAGAGATGTTTCCATTTCTGTTTGGCAGATTTAACATCTGTATAATTTAGTCAAAAATTTAAAAAAACTAAAAATAAAACCATCAAATCCACATTGTTCAGCAATCAATAACCAGATTTTATCATTTTTGTTTTTGTCTTTAAGCTCGCGTCCCTTTTCGCCAAATTAATTCATTCTGTTGTATCATCTCAATAAATAAATTCATATCAATTTTGGTTGACATTAAAAAAATATTTTTTTAATCTAAAAACAAAAAAAAAGTAATTTAAATAAATTATTTTACATTTAAAATACAATTTTTATAAATTACTATTCTTCAAAAGGGTCCCCCCTTTTCAATTCTACAAAAAAATTAACAAAAAGTATACCTTTTTCAAAAAAATTTTTCATCATAAAATTTTAAATTTAAAAAATAAAAGCTTAAATCAATCGATAGATAAAAGTTTAAATTTTAATAATCTTTTTAAATTTTTAAAATTGGTTCAATATTGATCGAGAAATTAATTTTTCAATTTTATCAAAAATTTTCCGCAAAAAAATATCAAACAGTTTTGATATTAAAATTCTTCCGCCGGCGGAAAAAATGCAGCCGAAAACGCAACTTATGTAAGCACTCAAACTGCGGAAAAAACGCGAGCGTTTTTTCCGCCGGCGGAAAACGCAAGTTATGTAAGCACTCAACCAGCGGAAAAAACGCTAGCGTTTTTTCCGCAGCAAAAACGCAGTTTTATGTAAGCACTCTCAATTTGCCGAAAAAACGCCGGCGTTTTTTCTCTCTCATTTTTCCATACTATTTTCTGCGGAAAACGCTAAGCGTTTTTTATGTAAGCGTAGCATAAGGAAGGAATTCTGATGTTAAAAAATATGGTGGACGAGAAAAAGAATGCTTTTGTACAGTCTGATGGAATAATAGGACTTTACCGAGGAAAAATTGTGCACCAAATTGAATTAGAACCTGGAACTCGTCCCGTTTTACAACGTCCTTATACTATACCTCACGCATTAAGGGAGGAAGTGGAAACCCAAATTAAAGAAATGCTAAAACAAAACATTATTAAACCATCGTCCTCAGCTTGGGCTTCACCGATTGTCTTAGTAAAAAAGGCTGACGGCAAATCATGGAGATTTGCAGTTGATTATCGAGCCTTGAATAAATGTACAAAGAAACAAACTTATCTTCTTCCACGAATTCAAGACTTAATTGATGTCGTGGGAGGGAAAAGCTTATTTTCCATTTTTGACTTACAAAGCGGATTTCACCAAGTAAAAATGGACAAAAAACACACGGATAGAACAGCTTTTATTACTCATTGTGGACTTTATGAATTTTTAAGATTACCATTTGGTTTGGCAGGAGCACCCCATACGTTTCAAAAAGTTATGGAAGAGATTAGACAACAATTGTCACGAAGTTTCCTAGTATATTTGGATGATGTTATTCTAGGAAGTCAGACAGAAGATCAACACTTGGAAGATTTAAAAGCTTTCCTTAATGTTATGTGTGAAGTTGGGATGAAACTAAGAGCAGAAAAATGCCGATGGGGATGTTCTGAGATTCGTTATTTAGGATTTTTAATATCTGATAAGGGAGTGAGAATGGATGATAAGGATTTAAAACCTATACTTACCATAAAGAAACCACAAAATCTAGCAGAATTATGTTCCTTGATCGGAGTATTTAGTTACTTCCGACGATTTATTAAAAGCTTTGCTGAAATTATGGCCCCCATTTATGATCTTACTAAAAAGGAATCAACAAGAGATTGGACTGAAAAACATGATAAAATCCTTGAGGAAATGAAGAAAAGATTGACGAGTGCACCAATTCTAGCTACACCACGATTCGGAAAGCCTTTCATCTTAGAGACGGATGCGAGTGGAATTGCCATTGGAGCTTGCCTTCTACAAGAAAATCAACAAAAAGAAATTCATCCAATAGCGTTCTATTCCCGTACTTTAAATAAACATGAGAAAAACTACAGTGTTGTGGAGTTAGAAGCTCTGGCATTAGTATCAGCCCTGAAACAATTTCGAGTATATTTAGAAGGGGCTGGCACTTCTACAGTAATTACAGACAATTCGGCCCTTACTTCACTTTTTCGAAGGAAGGATCTTCAAGGCCTACTTGCGCGTTATCAAATGATTTTACAAGCTTTTGACGTTAATATTATTTATCGACCTGGAAAATTTAATAAAGTTGGAGACCATCTGTCACGCTATCCCCCTGAGGAAGAAATACTTATTAAAGCTATTGAATCAAAGGAGAAAATCTCTCGTGAAAAATTAGTTGAAGCACAAAATCAGGACCAGGAAATTCATACTCTATTGCAAAAGGGAGATGAAAATATTCAAAAAATTGATGGAATAATATGCAAAAAAATAAATAATGACTGGAAATTTTTAATTCCACAAATTCTACAAAATAAAATTATTAAAGAATATCATGAGGATTCTCTTCAAGGAGCACATTTAGGACTTAAAAGAACATTGGAAAAATTAAAGAGAACAATGAGTTGGAAGGGAATGGCAAAAGATGTGATGGATAAAATACGTATTTGTGAAGTTTGTCAACGGAGAAAAATCGTTGGTAAACACCTTAGCCGAGAGGAAATTTGTCCAATAGAGCCGGCTTCTCGTCCATTTGAGAGAATACATATTGATCTATTAGGACCAATACAAAAATCAATATATGGACATAAATACATTTTTGTTGGAGTTGATTCCTTCAGTAAATGGGCAATAGCGTTACCAATAAGAAATCAAACTGAAAGCACTATAAGTGATATTTTTATGAAGGAAATTATATGCCGATTCGGAATACCCTCTAAAATTGTTACAGATCAAGGGACACAATTTATGTCCGCAACTTTTCAGGATTTAGCTAATACCTTAAAGTTCCGTCATCAACCTACTACTGCCTATCATCAGTCTGCAAATGGCATGGTTGAACGCTTTAATCGAACATTGACGGATATGATTGCTACATGTACCGATCAAGGGAAAAACTGGGTTGAAACTCTACCCCACGTTATCTTTGCCTATAATACATCATATAATGAACAAATTCGTAATACCCCATTTTTCGTAATTCATGGATTTTTACCAAAATTACCAACTGAGGCTGCCCTTGAGGTAGAAAGAGAGAAATTTGATGATATGAATTCGTATGTAAAGAATTTGGTTGAAAATCTTAGAAGGATTCGAAATGATGTGGAAATACGATTAAAGGAAAATACGGGAATAATTAAAGAGCAACAAATAAAAATCAATAAAAAGACCTGGAAGAAAGGAGAAAAAGTTTTAATTCGCAAAATGGAAAATATTAAAAAATTTGGGGAAAAATATGAAAGACCCTTTGAGATAGTCGAAGTACAAACCCCGAATTTGCTTATTTCTGATTCGGGCTCTGTTCAAAATTCATGGCTCGTCCATATGGACCGATGCAAAATTTTAATTCGGAAATGGAAGAAAATACTGAAAGTAAAAGTAAAATATTTGGGGACCAAAACATTGAGAGTTCGGAAGTGGAAAGCGAGACTGAAGAAGATCGGATACATATTAACGCTATTACTAACAATTTGGATTTTTTAAACAATATAACATAAACAAATACTAATAACACCACTAACAATAATGAAATTAATAATGGAGATATAATATTTAACAATTTACAGATGTCACAATCTGACAATTCTATTATTAGTGAGGATATTATTATAGACAACGATAATAATACTATTGAAAAATTGCCTCAACATTTCGAACAAATCTCCAGTGAGGAGGATACTCAGGATAAAGAATATGAACCACTAATGCCGATGTCCAAAGAAAAGAAAAAGAAGTTTAAAAGTGATAAAAAAGAGCGAAAGGAAAAGAGCGGTAAGAATGTTGAATCGAGAAAAAGAGGAAGAAAAGAAGAAGAAAAACTAACTAGTAAAAATGACGAAAAGAGAAAGAAGAAGGAAGAAAAGGTTGAAAAGAAAATCAAGGATAAAAGCAAAGACGAAAAGAATATTGGAAAGAAAACTGAGGAGGAAGATGAAGTTGATTGGGAAATGGCAGCCCAATTGAGACGAGTAAGATCCAAATATGAAGAAGATATTCTGCTGAAACATAAAGATATTTGGAACAATGTCTTGAAAAAGGCTGATCAATTTCATGGCAAAATCCAGGACCGCTTGGCTAAAGAGAGAAAAGAATTAGAGGAAGAAAAAAATAAAAATCATAAAAATATTGAGGAAAAAAAGAAGGAAGAAAATAATTTTATAAGATTTGCTAATCGAATGGGGAAATGGGCATCTACAGATAAGCAAGAAGATGAAGTACCAATTAAATTATCAGAAGAAAAAGAAAAATACCTTGCAAAGGTAAAGGAGAAGGATGAACTGAAGGGTTGGAAAGGAACTCGGGCTCGTGCTCATCAAAGCAAATTTGATGAGAAAGTTGTAGCCAGAGGAATAAGACAAGAATATTCAATTTCTCCCGTCCGTTCCCAAATTCGTTACATTGATGAGAAGGAAAAGAAAGAGAAACAAGAAATTTACGATAAATTAAAAACTAAAGAGGTTGGAACTAATACTGTACTAAATAAGATCTTACTGGACCGTATTATGGAGGACCTCTCTGAAGCTCGAGATTTACTAACATTAACCCCAACTAAGTAAAAAAATGAAGGATTACGGACACACAAGATCAGCAACAACAATAACCAAAAATATATTGAAAACCACATTATTCAATTATAATCAAATTTGTAAATAATATTATTTGTATTTTAATTAAACTTAATATTTCTAACAACAAACAATATAATCACTAAACAATATAACCAACATATATTCAATTAATATTCAAATTCATATTCAAAATCAACATATATTCAATGAATATTCAAATTATAAAATTTTATTTTAAATACTTACATGGGAAGGATTGAGTGAAGAAGCACAAAATAACAATAAAAAATAACATTTTAAGGAAATTTGAGGGAAAGGAAAAATTATTGAATTTACTTTTATTTAATAAAAATGAAGAAATAAAATAAACTTTTCACCGTGTAATTTCATCTTGGATGGGTGCAGCTAATTTTAATTATGCACGAAATCTTTGGCCTTTGAAACTGGTCTTTTTGATTACTTACGGGCGCCAAAATTACACAAATACAAAAGAAAAGAAAATTTAAAAAATAATAAATCAGTGATACTAACGATCAATGTTCCTATTCTCCCGTCTTTTCAAGTGCCTAAATAACATCAAAAAATTTTTAAAGAAATTACAAGCGAGGACGCTTGAAATAGACGGGGCGAGAATGTTATATCTGACAGCTGTTACTATGTAACGTTCCCTCCCTAAGCTTTATAAAAAGGAAAGAAAAAGCCCAAAAAATTCAGTAGTATTAAAAAACAGCTAAAAGAAAAGGCTTTTTCTTTTCGCCCCCTCTCGCTTAAAAACTTTCCCTTTTTGTGTTGAATAAAAATATTTTGTTAATAGTTTTGTTTTAAAAGTTTTTAGTTAAGTAGAGACCAGACTCCCAGGGCGTCTCTCGAAGGTCTCTCGACCTTCGGGAGACCCAACCCTGGGAGGGTATCGAATTTTCTTAATAATAACTTTGTCCAATCAAGTCAGATTTCGTTGATTTGGTGTCATTCGACTCAGCTCGACGAGCTCTTTCGAACGAGGTATAATTTGCATTTTCGAATTTTTCACCCCAAAAAAAGTGCTTGGTCCCCCCTTTGGTTTTTCGATTTTCGGGGGCTTATATCTCGGCCCATTTATGAGTCCGCACGAAAAATTTTTCACCATTCGACTCAACTCGACGAGCTTTTCGAATGACATATCATTCGACTTAATCGGCGTCTGTGTCGTATACCGAAATTTTACCTTATATTCCTCTTTTTGGCAACCTCGATTAAAAAATTTCTGTAAATGTACTACCTGTCCGCAATAAGAATGCGCATTTTCCTTCTCTTACTTGCATTTTTTCTTTATTTAGAAATTGAAAAACCTTGTTATATATTGAAATTGCCAAACATCCCAAAAACTATAGAAGAAATGGTTATTATTCGATTCTGGTTAGAACAACTTTTCAATTGTGCCTTTAAAATGGCCGTGTTTAGAAATGTTATTTTCAATCCAAAAATGTTTGATTTATTGTTTGATAACGACAAAACAACTCTTAAACTGTTTAACATTAAATATCTCTGTCTACATCCTAGCAATAATACACTTGAAAATTTTTCTGAATTTGCTATAAATTGTTGTAAAATTTATGATTCTCTTGATTTCAATTTAATTATGTGTAACATTACAAAGCAACGTACTGATATGTTATTCCATATTTTAATAAATGAAAGCAATAAAGTGCCTGTAATTCATCTCAGTTGTAACACTACAAAGCTTTATTATCTTATCGTTGAAGTAAGACATAAATTTGAAAATAAAATTTGAAAATAAATTTAAATTGTAGTATGTAACAACATCAAAAGATCGGTACTTTTCCGTTATCCCTACCTGGTTTTGCGGACTTTTTTTTGCGGACAACTTTTATTTATAAAAAGAAAATATAGAGAGAAAAATTATAAAAGAAAGAATCATTCCAATCGGCAATATTTCCCCCAAGCAAGCATAATTTCTTCAAACGCCTCTCCTCCATATTCCTCCAAATAAACTCGGCAAAACAACTCTACAAATGATGTTGTGTTGTTTTTGAGTATTACACCCAGTCTTTTGATCAATAAATGGTAATATTGAACTTCGTGCCCCCCCCCCCCCCCCCCCCCCCCATTTTTTGCTCCAGAAAGTGGTACCCATCAGGGATGGATCCGCTTCCGCTTCCGCGTTCCGCCTTCCGCAGAATTCCGCCTTTTTTTGGTCTTCCGCTTCAGTAGTAACCACCCCCCAAACGTTACAAGCGTTACACCCATTTGATCACCTGTCAGTCAAACCTGAGGCTATAGGGGGTATTTTCTTTTGATCTTTGCCGCTACCCCTTTGATTTTGGAAGGGTTTGAGGGTAATTAATCATGATTAATTAGGGTAATTAATCATTGATGATTAATTGCTTTTTGATTGAAATTTTGCGGTAATTGACAGGTTTGATGTTTGTGGTGTCTGGGTGGTCTGTTGTAACATTTGGAGGTTAAAATAAAAATTTTAAAGTAATATTTAAAAGTGCGGTAAAATAAAAGAGTTGTCAAAAGGTTTTGGTTGGGTAAAAATGCGGTAAAATAAAAGAGAGTTATAAAGAAATGAATTTTTCGGCTTTTCAATTATCTATTGAGTAGATTTAAGGAAAAATTAAACTGAAATGTTTTGATTGATTCAGAAGTGATTAGGTACAGTGATAAGTATAGGTATGTGATTGATGAGTGACTGGTGTGATAATTGGAATATGAAAAAGTTTAATGGGTAATATTTTGATTAATAATGAAAAATTTTATAAAATTTTAAAAAATAAAATCCCCCGAGCGGAATCGAACCTTCACCTTCGTATTTTTTAATATGCGGGAACCTTATCCATTCGGTCATAGGGATGTACTTAAATTTAATTTAACAATTTGATAATTTATTATATAAATTAATTTCTCTGTGCATTTTGGTGGGAAGGTTGAGGATTCAAAATTTAAAAATTGGCGGGGATTCAAAATTCAAAATTGGCGGGGATTCAAAATTTAAAAATTGGCGGGTATTTCAAAATTTAAAAATTGGCGCTGATTTCAAAATTAAAAAATTACAAAAAATATTAGATTTAAATAAAATTTAGATTAATTAAATAATAAATGAGGAGAAATTAATAAAAACCTATAAACATTGCTTTTAAAAAATGACCGGAATTTCAAATATAAGGGGAATAAAGCAATTATTTCAAAATGTCAAAAACGACAAAATGCCACACTTAGAAATGTCAATTTTTGTGTCTAACCTTACATTAATAGAAATTTAATTATTATTAAATTAATAAACCCTCATTGTTAATCAAAACTTGAACACCATTAAATAATTTGAATTATTTTACAATCTATCCCAAATTTTTCTACTTAGAATTTTATTCGATAAATTTACTCAACTTAATTTCGTATTTTCACTAAATAAACTTAAATTTATTTAAACTAAATATGGTTCATATTCCCTTTGATCCGCGAACAATCGGATATGATGATCATCATACATTTATCAGTCAAATAGGAGGAGGGACAGATGAAAATTATTACTATTTTCGTGGACTCAATCCTTATCAGCGTGGTTATGGAAGACAAACGGGTAGCGGAGTTGGAGATGTACTTAGAAATTTTTGGCGATTCCTTTTACCTTATGCGAAAAGAGCAGGGACAGCTGTAGCAAAAGAAGCTTTGGATACAGGCGGAAGAATTTTTGAAAGTGTGGGAAATCCAGAATATGGCCAGGAAGAATTTAAACCAAATTTTAAACAAACAGTGATTAGTGAGGGAAAACGTGGATTAGACAGATTACTTGAAAAAGGCGGAATGACAAAACAGTTTGGAACCGGATTGCAAGCGAGGAATAGTATAAAAGGACTCAAAAGAAAACTTAGACCTCATTCAACATTTTCAAAGGAAAAAAGTCATCAAATAATTATTGGTAAAAATCCTTCTCATAGCTCAAAAAAGAAACGTCAAAAAATAGATACATTCGGTCTTTATTAAATAAAAATGTCTACTCATCAAAAAATTGATCGCGATTCTGGCAATGCAATAACAAATGCTTTATCATTTTTCGAAACTCCCCACACAAATGTTAGTATTAGCAACTCATCATTTATTGAATTACTCACACTTAACCCTGTAAATATCACCCCTTTTCATTTCAAAATCCACGCAAGCACAAATTATATTGATTTGGCCAAAACCTATGTTTTTACTGAACTTAGGATTAAAAAAGAAGACAAAGATGGGAAACTTGTTGATATAGGAAAAGATGATAATGTGGCGAGCGTGCAGCTTATAGGGCATACAATATGGAAAAATTGTTGCATGCATATTAATGGAACACAGGTTTTTGAAGGGAATTCCCTCATGGCTTACAAAAGTATTTTTGACTACGAACTAACCTACCCACAAAGTGTGAAAAACTCATACCTTTCTGTTGCGGGATATTTTGATGATGGAGCCACACAAACATACCCAGGAGTTGATTCTAATGGATATGGAGTTAAATCAAGGAAAAGATTATTCTTAGACGAAGATGGAAATCCGCGTAGTGCACAATTTATGGCCAAATTGGATGTCGATATTTGTAATCAACCAAGATATTTAGTAAACCAATGTGAAGTTGATATTGAACTACTACCCAATGAATCAAGTTTCCTACTTAGTGCTCCCTGGGACACAGCCCCAAAATACCATCTAGAAATTTTGGCATGCAAATTATATGTAAAGAAGATTGAACTAATGGACAGTCTAGCTTTTGATATTGCGAAAAAACTTGAAATAAAGCCCGCACGATACCCGTTAAGAAAAACATCTCTCAAATCCTTATTCATCAGTGAAAATAGAACAGAGTTTAATGCTAATCTATGGATGGATCAGGTGCCTAGAAGAATTATACTGGGAATGGTTGATAATAAAGATTTTGTAGGACGGCAAAGAACAACACCTTTTTATTTTCAACATTTTAATTTGAGAGATATTTCCATAACTGCCGGGGGAGTAACTTTTCCAGCAGCCCCTTATTCCCTTGATTTTCCGAAAGGAAACTATGCTAGAATTTATCATGACATGCAAGAAGCAATTGGGTACGCGGGATCACTAGAAAGTAATGGTATATCAATGTTTCGGTATGCAAATGCAGGATATTGCTTCTTCGTATTTAACCTCACAAATGGTCAGGAAGATAATGGACCGGAGATGTTTGATTTAATAAAGAATGGTACAACAAGTATAAGGATGACCTTCAACGAACCGGTTCCAAGTGGTGGGATTGTGCTAGTAGCTATGGGTGAAATCGATTCGCTGCTAATGTTAGATAGGAACAGAACTATTTCCACAGATATTTCAGTATAAATACTCTAAATTTTTCCTCATTTTTATTCTCCCATTTCATTTAAAAATGTTCCACATTACTATTAAAATTGAATTTAGCTTTGTTTTTATTATTTTATTTTTCTTTCTGTATAAATTATCACTACAATATTCTATGACTAATGAAAATGATAATCTTGAATATAGAGAAAAATTAAGAGAACGTATTGGCTATTACGCAAATACAATACCTCCTAAATCAACCGAACTTATCAACTCGTCTTCATCAAAATTCCCAATAATTCCTGAAAGAGTTAAAAATACCAGCGGAGCAGCTTCTAATCTTAATCTTGAAACCTATATTAACATTTTGAATTTATCATCAATGGAACATGTGAACAATGTACAATTTCCTTCACTTTGCAAGGAATTTCCATCATCAGGAACATCAGTCGCTCTAACTATTTACTGCGTTTTATTGATTATACTCTGGCTTTTATTGTTAGCTATTGCCTTAACATATCAACTAAGAAAGCTTATAAAAATTAAAAACAACAGCAAGGACGTTGAACTTGGAGAAGTGCAAAGAGAGTTATAAATATCTCCTTCCACAACGAAAATGGACACTTTACAAATCGAAAAATTTTTATTAAACAACAGAATTACTAGAAGATGTTTTATTGGATGCTTTGCTGCAGACAAAATCCCACAAGAAATTCGAAGATATCCTTGTTCAATGGTCGTCAACCTTGAAAAATCTTCTCAAAACGGATCACATTGGATTGCATTTTTCATAATAAACCCCGAGAAGATACTTATTTTTGATTCATTATTACTTCCAGAAATTCCTACTTTAATAAAAAATTTTATTTCCAAATTTCCACACCGAGTAATGAATAATGTTCCCCTTCAAAATCCTCTACTTCCCACTTGTGGTCAGCATTGTATCACTTTCATTTATTTTATCTCTTCTGGATACACTTATAAAAAATTCCTATCCTTATTACTAAATTATTCAAATCCAGATGAATTTGTTTTTAATTTTATTATTAAAATGATAAAAAATATATAATAAATTTTTACAATTTTTAAAGAAAATATTGAGTTAATTAAAATCTTATCATTCTGTTAAACATTAGAGTAATAATTACAGTACCGTGATCAAATTTCACAAGACTTCCATTCATCCATCTTAGTTCAATTTCAATCTCGTTAATTTCTCTAGGCAACACTGGTATGAACATTGGTTGATCATACACTCTTTCGACAACTCCGCCAGACCTATTCTCGACAGCTACAATTCTAAGTAATGAACTGACAGAGTTTCCCATAATTACAGTTCCCGTTAACCCCTTTGAATAAACAGCAAAGCTTGTGAAGCCTCCTTTCAAATCAATTCCATATTTTCCAATTTGACCATTTACCAAAGGGCCCATGGGGAAGCCGAGAACATAACATAATTGTGAAGATATTGTTATATTTCTAATCTCAGGATCATTGAAAATTACTCTAAAGCGATCAATGCTGTCCAAATATTCAAATTCAATGTCCGAATGTAAATCTTTTAAGTGAGATTCATTTTCTTCAATCATCGTAACTGTCTTTTCTTTAATTAGATCATCTGTATTTTGCTCATACTCTTTCTCATCAAATATCTCCTCTGTTGGTACAATTTCTTCTGAAGAATCCAAATCTAAAACTGGCCCTTCCCTACTTTTCTCTTCCCAACTTTCTTCCTCTTTTTCGAAACTTTCCTCCTCAGCTACATCTTCCTCTTCACTTATTGGTTGCTCAATGGGTATAGGCTCTCCATATTTATCTATTCTTCTTGCATGCTTTAACTTTTCTTTGCTTTCTTTAAGTTCTTTATCTTTTCTTTCATTTTTTTTTTCCTAATCTTCCAAATATTCTGGATGAGTTTTCTCTTCGATTTTTTGCATTTCCTTAATTTCATTCCGAGTTGGTGGAATTGGCAGCTCAAAATTTTTCCATTTCTTGTAGGCCTCATGATGTATTGCTGTAAATCTATTTCTTCTGTATGAAGCCAATTTATTTAACTGATCAATCTCCTTATTTAATTTATTCTTTTCTTCTTCATCTTGTTCTTGTGAATGTAAATCCCTTTTTTCTCGAATTTGTCTGTGTAATTCCTGCAGATCACCTAAATTTTTCTTCAAAGCTGCCCAATGATCTTCAGGGTGGTCGTCAAAAAATTTTTGGACAAATTCAGAGTGATTATTTGAATTTTGCTGATTGAACTCATCTCTAGTAATTTTCAATTCTCTTTCAATTATTGCAGATTCCAGTACTTCTAAGTTTTTTCGCATACGTTTTATCGAATTAATAAACCTTTGAATTTCTTCTCCAGAACGAACATTTTTACCATCCTCTTCCCTGCTCTCTTTAATTTTATCTTCAAGCTCAATATATCTTACTATTATATTTATTTCCATCTTTATTACTTGCTCGTGATAATCATCAGGGTGTTGTTCAAAAAACTGATTTCCAATAAGTCGACCATCATGCCTATCTCTCTTATTAGCCTCCTCTGTTAAAAGACGAATTTCCTTCTTCTTACCCTCAGAAAGGGATTCTAGGTGATCAAGTTCTTGCTGAAATTCTTCCTTCTGTATATCATCCTCCTCATTAAGAACTTGTTTTGTTTTTCCTCTATTTTAACTTTGTGTTGCTCTTCTTGTTCGTAATCGCGTATGGCTTCCCAATAATTGTGAGGATACTGGTTAAAAAATTCCTTTATCCATAAGGGTACACTATCTGCTTCACCTGCCTCCCTCCTTTGCCGTTTCTTAGCAGGGGCCACCACTAAATTAATTTCGGGATCAATAATAATTTCATCCTCTAAAGTATCGATTGAAACATCACGTCTTTTCCTAGGTTTTTCTTTATTGGATAATACAAGTTTTAAAAAGAAGCTGAGTCCGCTGGGTGTTAACTGTGTTGTTTTAGGAATTCCGATTCTATGTGGTTTTTTGTTTTTGTAATTAATTTCGATCCATTGTTTAACGTCGGTGCCAATAGTTGCAGCCCATGACTGGGGGTATTGGATACTGTAAAGCCCACATACCCAGTTTCCACCTTGAAATTCTATTGGCTTAGGGAGATGCACTCGGTATTTATTTGGTTTATTATCTGGGTAAACACTAACATTGCTAGGAAGAACAACATAGAATGTATTAGCCATTATTTATTTTAATTATAATAATAAATTGAACAATAAAATGAAAATTGATTTAAAAAATGTAAAAATGATTTATGGGAATGAAAATTAGTCTTTTATACAAATTGATTTTCATTTATCCAATGGGGTTGAGGATAATCAAAAAATTTTACAAGATATTCTTTTCTTCCATCGTTTTTCTTTCTGCTCTTAATAATCTTCTCAATTCTGTAACTAGTATTCTCGTCCTTCCTCACTCGTGTTAATTCCTCAGGGTAGAAATATCCTTTAAATAATTCTCCATTATCGTCACGGACGCGATATCTATTGGGATTAGCCTTCTTTTTAACAAGATCTATCTGAAGAATTTCATCACTGTAATTTGGGAGATAACCCTTTGAAAAAATATTTTTACTTCTGCTCATACGCACATGATCATTTTCCTTGAATCTTGGCTTTTTTCTAAGTTTATTCTTGCCAATAGGACCAAATATCATTTCTCTAATTTTCTTTGCATTGTTAAAGCTTACATCAACCGGTCTTAATCCACCTAAAACCCTACACTTTGAATGATTTATTGCATCCACTATTTTCGGTAATGCTTCTGTCCATTTTAAAGTATGTTTCTCACTCATAAATCTGTATAATCTCTGTTTAATGTTACGAATACATCTTTCAGCTAGAGATGCTTTAACTTCTGAAAAAGTTGCCGTGTATTTTTCAATATCCTTCCCCCTGAAGAAATCCATAATTTCCTTGCTGCAAAATTCAGTTCCTTTATCGCTAAAAATACGGTGTGGGTGCATTTCCATCCTTGCCAAAATTTTTTCAAATGCGTCAATCATATCATTTGATTTTTTAGTGCGAACAGGTTCAGCGAAAACTCTCTTGCTTAAAACATCTATTGCCACAAGTGAATTGTATATGTTCTATGACCTTCTAAATAATCCTCAACATCTTTCTTTTTAATACTTGCATCTTTTTTTCTACCCTCTGTCCATAGTTGGTTAACACCGGCAAATCCTGCTGGATTCGCTGGATCATTGTAAAGTTTATCTAATATCATTTCCACTCTGCTGGAGGTCTCCATTTTGATTCAGCTATTTCTTTGGATTCAACTATTTTTCTTTTTGAATAAGTTCTTTTTGGTGTACAACTCTCTCTTGCCTTCTCTATCAATGGCCAAATTTTATTATCACTTTTTAGTTTGTTTTCTAAAGCTGATGTTCCAGGCGGTGTCAATTCACCCCATCTCAATTTCCCACTTATTCCAGTTCGAAGAATACACTCTATGGATTTTTGTGCATTGCTTCCCATTATTTCTTTTCCTCCCTTCTTACTTAGAATCTTTCCATCTGTGCTCACGTCATATTTATCAAGATTTTCCTTTTTCATACTTTCAAAAATTTCTTCTGTTTTTTCCTTTATAGTTGTGCTTTTTGGCTCGGTTTTCCCCTTAATTTCAGGAGATTCCTCCTCCGCAGTGTGCATACTAAGATCATCTTCATTATTTTCATCTATCGGGGATAATTTTGGAGTGACAATATTTTGTTTAAAAGCTTTTGGAGTGCTTTCATTTACTTGACGACTTTCATTGGAGTTTGTTTGAAGGAGGGGAAGTAATTTTTTGATTTGTTCTAGTGCTGGATCTTCCATTTGTCTTACTGAAACATTCATTGGTCTATCATTTTGATCCTTTAACATGTGTAAATATCGTCTTAATTCCTGGTTATAATTTATATTTTTTAATTCGGTGTTAGCATTTAGATTTTTAATAGTTTCCAAATTTTCTCGAGTAAAATCCAAATTGATATTTCCAGTTTCTGGTATGGGATGAGTAAGTAGTCCGCGATAAATATCCTCAGGTATCAATATAAATTTATTTGCCATTTTTATTAATTGCTTATCAATGTTTTTGTTAATTCAATAATGATTGGTGTTAAAAGGGCAGGAAACAATCCTATTGGTAAACCGCTTCCTTGTTGTATTACTGTACGTCGGGCTCCTCCTTCTGTCTTTAGTCTACTCACACGACGAACAAAATTAGCGAATGGCAAAAGTCGATGTTTTTGTCTTTTATTTAATTTAAATTGATTTCGTACAATATTAAAACAAATTTCAGTTAGAGATAGTAATTGATCTGTTGAAGCTTTTTTTAAAAGTTGTCTTCTTTTAGTTAGTGAACGTGTTTTTGCGAGTTTTTTGAGAAATTGCAAATTGTCCTTGACAAGTTGACTAATATTCGTTGTCATAATTTTAATTAGAGGAATTCTTGGGTAAAAATATAATTGGTAATGAATTATAGGGTTCTTCTGATTCTCCGTCTTTAAATATATTTGTTCTTAGTCTAAGAGTTGGGTCTGATGAAGGGTGTAAATCAATAAAAAGATATGAATAATTACTGCTGCTTGTAGCTTGTCTATATGCGTCTAGAAAATAATTTAATCTTCCTGGGAATAGTTGTACTCCTAAATTGCGAACGGCCAATGCACTATTTGGTGCGCGAGTTAATACAATATACATGGAATTTTGACGTGCGACTTTGAGTTTTTTCTCGAAAAGATTCTGGGTGATGAATATTATGCCAAAATTAAGATGATGAGATTTCTTTGTGAAAAGTTCCGATAAATATTTTTCATCAATTGATTACATTAGGTCATCGAGAATGACTAGTGCAGGCTGTTCTTGTTTCTTAATAAGATCCTCAGGGGGAACTCCGGAATAAACTGAGACTCCGGCTCGCTGTAGTTCTGGAACAAGAGAATTATATTCGCCATAGCAGTAGAGAATAGATTTTGGAATGGGCTCAATAAGTTGATCAGAGTTGGAAATTAATTTTCGTACAAATGTACTTTTACCAGTTGAACTTGGGCCGCTTATAATACAACCAAATGGAAGTTTTAATTTTAAATCTTTATTAGAATATAAATTATAATTCATTTTACAAATATATGTCGAAAATTAAAAATAATGATTAATGATTAAGAGTGGTAATTTGAGGATTATCTTTTTCTTCTAATTTCTTTTCTTTATTGCCTTCTTTTATATTTTCTTTTGTTTCTTCTATTCCTACTTGAGCTTTGTTTTGTGAAAACTTTGACAAAAATTCTTTGACAGTCATTTGCCCTTCTCCTCTGATAAATTCTTTTTCATTCCACTTTGGTTCCTTATGAATAATATTGTAATTCCTCCCTTTTGATTTAACACGAAAGACACACTGTTGAGGAATTTCATAGATATGATCAAACATGACGACTTTTTCTGATTTTAGGCGATTGCAATATAAGGTTACATCCTTCGGAGTAACAATAAAATCAATGTCCACATTTTCTCCCTTACAACTTTTACATTTCCCCGCCAAGTCAAACTCCACAAAACGTGCTGTTATGAGCCGAGGTGACGAAATTGTCACACCAGAAGAAGATACCGCAAATAAAACCTCAGGGAGCACTTTTTCTAAGAGCTGGCAATTATTTTCAATTACTGACATTTTTTAAATAATTTTATAAATGAATTCAAATTTTGAATGGAATTTTGATTCTAGGGAATAGTTCAGTATTTATACTCTTAAAATGGGCGTGGCTTCCGAAAAAGAAATTTGAATTTTATAAATTTAAATTTTCCTATGTTAACTAATAATAAATTAAATTACAAAATTTTTATTTCAAATTAAATTATTACAATTATGAAATTATTATTAAAAAATAACAATGTTAAGAAAAAAATATTTATTTAAATTTTTACTCATTTTTTCAACTTTTCAATATTCTTCTCATCCCAGTCAGCAACAAAATCCTTGAATTGCATGTTTAATTTCGCGCAGCTTTCACATATTTCAAAGCATATTCCAATATTTCCATTTTCCTTCTGAGTGAATTTATTCTTATCATTATAAAGCGCATTGGCACATTTTTTGCAAATTCTTATTTCAATCCTTGGTGTATCTTTCATGCGCATAATTTTCCACAGTACACGCGGATTTAGCTTATTATTATTTTTCTCGATTTTTCCGTTGTTTATTTTCGAAGTAGGGGAATTTGCTTTGTTGATTATTTCAGTGTCCTTTTCTAACTCTACTTCAATTATCTCTTCCTCATTCTCCTCAATTTTTGGGATTTTTTCTTTTTTTAACCCGCTCATTTTTTATTTTATTTTCAAATTTTATTTTAAATGAATGCGAGTTGGGAAATCTATTGTCTTATATACTCGCTTAAGCCACGCCCCTTTTCCCAAGATTTCGTAATATTTGCCAATTCTCAAAGAAAAATTTTCATATAAAAAGGGACAATTTCTATAATCTTAAAAGTTTATAAAATCATTTGATCATTTACTTAAAGTATAAATTAATTAATAAAAATGAATTCTGTTTTGGATGATATTTCTAAAAAATTAAATTGCCCATGTTATTTGGTGAGATATAGACTAATGTATCAAGAAAATGCTGATTTGATCGCAAAATTTATAAAAGAAAATGGAGAGCTAGAGACAAATTATCTTGATAGGAATGGAATGAAAAGAAAAATTAGGTGTGATGGTATTATAACAAACAGGAGCTCATTTAATCAAAGCCTTCGGCAATTTAAGTTATCCATTTACTATATCGATTGCGGCATATTTCTTTGCTCATCACAAATTAAAACTTCAATACCCATTTCATCAATGTGTTATTGAAAGAACATGTACAGAGAATGGAGTTTGCGAGAGATACTACCCTCTTGAACTTTTATGTTTTGCTCCTTCATCGTCTCCGTCTACTATAAGCGGTTTAACATTTAAAGCACGACGTACGCATGCAACTTCGTCAACTTCAACAATAAGTCTCAACAGTCTTACAATATCCGACGGAACCTTACCATCGACACCCACTGATGGGAAATCTAGACCAGGAATATTGTGGATTAAAATAGAAGGTAAACCTAACCAATGGGAAAAACGCAATATTATGATAAATTAATTCGAGAATTTTATTTTATTTAAATATTTATTAAATAATTATAATTTACAATAAAATATAGTTTGTTTAAAAAATTTTTACAAATTTTTGAAAAAATCTATAATATTTGAAATAGGAGGTTCATATAAAAATCGCCATCTTGAATACATTAAGTAATCTGTTCTATTATGTTTTCCAAATTTGAACTTTTTGTCGTAAAGGTCCCAACGAAGAATCCAACGTCCCATATTTTTTATTTCCGCTTGTCTGTTTAAATCTTTCTTGTTCGGGTAATAGATATCCTTTACAATCCATTTCATTGATAATTTGTTCCCGTCATCAGTTTTATACAATGATTTATTACTTAATTTATCGAATCGTTGAAGTTCCTCTGAATTATTAATATTTCTGTTAGGAAATATTAGTGGTGGTGTTCTCCGCCATATTGGTAGAGGCGTCATCCGATATAATGTTGTCACTAATTCTTCTCTCATCTCGGTTTTGGCGTCCATTGGTGGTGGTGTTCTCCTCCATATTGGTATTTCCACTGAAGTATTTTTATCACTGCTAGGAAATATTGATGGCGGTGTTCTCCGCCATATTGGTAGTTCCACTGAACTATTTTTATCTCTGGTAGGAAATATTGGTGGTGGTGTCCTCAGCCATATTGGTGTTCTCCGCCATATTGGTAGAGGTGTCCTCTGGTATAATGTAGTCACTAATTCTTCTCTCTTAAATGGTTTGGCATCCCAGTCTTCAGCCAATAAGGACTGTATATTAATTAATATAATCAAAAACTTTAACATTCTGTCCACTAATTTTTTATTATAAATTGTTGTTAGTTCTTGTTAACTGTTATGAAGCAAAGATAGGTAATAAATTTTTCAAGATTTATATTTATTAAAATAATAAATTAATTTTTAAAAATGTTATATTTTATTTTAATAATGATAATTTATCTTAACTTTAAAATTTTTAATCTAATATTATTGAATTTGAATGCAATTTTAAGGATCTTATTTCATAATTATCAACATATGTACAGTATACTTTTGCTAAAGTATACCCACACATTGTGCGAGATTTATGTTACATTTCTTATGGACAAAGAACAAATAAGGAATATTTTTTGGAAAATTATTTCTAAATTTTGAACATTGCTTCTTAATATCCAATATTTTTCATGATTTATATCTTTTAAATCTTAATTTTACATTAATTGCATCTTCTTATGCTTAATTTTGCTTTTTTACCCCCAAAATCTACATCTTCTTTGTATTAACTTTGCATGAATTTTATCTTCTTTGTACTAACTTTTTATGAATCTTATCTTCTAACGCTTACTATAAATCAATTCTCTTTCGTACTATAATATTTTATCATCAAAACAAATATAATTACAGTTAAAAACTTAAAGGTAAAATATAATGTTATTTTTGTCCAAAATGTACAATTTTGAGGTCATTAGAAATTATTCCTTTTTGTATTATTGGTCTAAATATTTTTCTCATTTTAGTTGAGTAAATCATCCCTTCTTTCACGCTGCGGCGTATAAAGTTAGGGTTTTCAATCATAATTGATCGCTTATCCAGCTCATCACCTTCCTCATTGTCGCCTCCTCCATTTGCATAATTTAGTACACTTTCCTTAAAACTGTCAAAATGCAAGATTTTGCAGACATCAGCCGTTAAAGTGATGCCACGTACTTTCAGAACACTACTAATTTTGGCATTTTTGTTGCTTTCCATTCTCAATGCGTAAGCCTTGCACGCCCCTCCAACATATTCTTTTATCTCTGAACCTGCATATTCCTTCGCCAAATCGCCTAGATAAGGTCCTGTTTTAAGAGGGCATTCCATATCCCTTGGATGGGAAAATAGTATACTGTCTGTGTCTCCATAGAGAATATTGCAGCCCTCTGATTCTGCTACCTTTTGCATTGCTTTCAATAGTTTTATTCTTGCTGCTGATGTTGTCCATAAGGATACCACCATGTTTGATGTATCATGTTCAATAATAAATTCTTCTTTTTGTTTGTAAGTTAGTAATATTGTTTCTTCAGTTAAATTATCAATAGATTGGATCTCAATTGAGTTATTATTGTCATATTCGATAAGTTCACTGGGTGAGTCAATGACTACACTTCTTGATTGTCCATTCCTTAGACTGAATCTCCCCCATAGAGAATTAAGCATTAATTTAGATATGTAGCGCATAGCCTGATCTGGAACCATTTTCTCTCTTTCAATCTCGATTCCAAATTTGCCTTTACATTCTTTTATAAATGTATCCTCATTTTCTTTTCCTTCTACGCCTTCAGGGAAACCACTCGCATGAATCTTCATTGCCATAAATTCTGCCACATAATTTTTAAATAAATTTTCATCCCATTTTTCATAATGAAGCGCTCTATAGAATTTTGTAACTGTATAACCAACTTTTAATGCTTCTTCTAATTCTATTGAAGTGCAGGTTGAGACCCACCCTCTATCTTCATCACTGTGAGGACATCGGTATCCTTTGATGTTTGCTCCTTTAGGATAGGCAAGTGCGCATTTTCTGCAGAGTGGAAAAAGTAATCTTTCATCAAATTTGACTGGAATAACAGGAACATTCAAATTCGATGGCGGTACTAAAAATACTTTCAAAATTCCTTTGAATGGAATTTGGTCTCCACTCTTCCAATTAACATTTTGTTCAGCTAAAGGTACAACATGAATTTTCGGATGCCCAACCGGAAATGATGTTGTAGCAATTGTTGATGGATATAGTGAATTAAAATCTAAATAAGCAATTATATGTTGTTCCTTGTCTGCATCAAAGTACATTTGTAAAGGTCCTGTTCTTCCACCAAAATAACAATCCCTAATTTTTATTGGGCCTTTGTCATGATAATTTGCAAATGATTTTCTCATATTTTTGTTGCGGCGAAGCATCTTACGTATATCACATTCCCATATTATATCAACATTTTTTATATATTTTCGAATAATTTCCAAACGATTTCCATCATCTTCACGTATTTCTCCCACAGTTTTTCCGTTTGGTAGAATTTTGTTCAAATCATTTCCGAAGCATTTTTCACATGCATGCCAAACACATCCATTTACCTCAATTGCTCTATCCTCTGTACTGGATTGGGAAAAATTAATCCAGCAATAGACCAAAAATTAATTAACCAAGATTTTTTAACAATTTATTTCTCAACAATTTAATTTAACAAATATTTTTTAACAACAATGTTTATTTTTAGCAAGGGCAAAATTATATCAAAAAAAGGATTAGGACCAAAAAGACGAAAAAGTGAAGAACTGAATATATTTTTCGGAAAAAGGGAGAGAAAGGGGCTGGGCCAAAAACGATCAAATTAGCATTTTATTTTTATTATTTTGTAAAGGGAAAAAGGGGAGAAAAAAGGGACAAAACACATTTTTTCTTTTTTCACATCAAAGATGTGACACTGGGGGAGGGCAAGAGAGTTGGTTTTATCAAACTTTAAATAAATGCATAAGGTAATTGTGGGTAAAGTGGTTTCGGATTGGGTGGTGGAGTAGGTGGTGGTCCGTAGGGAAATTTGATGATATTTAATGGGATTGGTTTATCATATATTTTCTTTATTCCCATCAATGGCTCAATTTTTCCAATCTTCCTTGGAACCATCAAATTCTCCATTCTTCCAGACGGTACAATTCGAACACGGGAAAATATGTTGGGGTGGTGCATATAAGGTTGCTTTTGAAATTTATTTAAATTAGATTTAAAACTGTTCAATTTTTTAATGACCTGAATTTTTCCAGATGTTGTCTTTTTAGTGGCATTAAAACCAGCAGAAGCAACCAAAGGATTATTTTGTTGTGTTTTATTTGTTGGTGCAGGAATTATAGGGGGTGGCGGTGGTGTTAAAATTTGCTGAATTGAATTATTATTGTTGATCGGGGGAGGTTTCGAAGATTCAATTGTTGCTTCAGTTTCCATATATTCAGAATTAGTGGTGTTGGGGATAATAGGATTTGGTGATTTAATATTTAAGTGAGAACGAATGAGTAAAATGGGAGGGCGAATGGATTTTTGACTTGGGGTCTTTACGGGCATTTTAAACTATAATTAAAACAATTTAATGTCGTATAGGGGGGGCCGTTCGCTGGACTATTTCGTCTAATGTATTCTGTATTTGATTCATTTCTACTGGGGGAATTTGTGACTGACTTTGTGGGTGAAAATGATTATAAATTTTAAGGAAAAATTTAAAAAGAAGGAGAAGCAATATGATTGTGGTGGTCCCCAAAATCGAGACGAAAATAGTAGATATTTCTGGCTCTTCCGAGATATAACGAGCCAATGAATCAAGCCCAAGGTATAATGCTGTGGTACTTAAAACTGGAAATGTGGATTTGGCGATAGGTTTTGCAATCTTTTTAATAAGGGGGCGAGATTTTGGATGACTTTCCGTAGGGATAGCAAGTAAAAGAAGACAAAGGATTACCAACATAGACGGAGGGGGAATCCATTGGGAGCGAGGTCTTGCTTTAATTTTATTTTCAAAGATGCTATATAAGAGCCGGAATATAATTGAGAGGAGGATCAGTGAAATTCCTATTAGAATTAAAGTCATAATCAGGTGTGGTGTTTCGGGCTGTTGGACAAAAATTGGAAAATTTAGCGAGATTACTTCAACGGATAAAACGCTTCCCATTAATGAAAAATTATTTTTTAAAAAAGCTATGAAATAAAATGATTTTTAATAAAAAGGGGGTGAAGGGATGGGACATCTTTACTTTCGCAAAACCCGCCTATTTCTCAACTGTAAATAATTTTGGGCAGGAGAAGGAGGAGGTGAATTAACATATTGTGTTCTCTTATTAGTGTTTTGTAAGGCTGGCTCAACATCTTTTGAATTTTGGGGAGGGGAAGCATCTCCTTTGTCAGAGCAACAATTTAATTCGAGGGGGTATATGTGCGCAATTGAACGGGTTGTTTGTCGGCCTGAGTGGCTCAGCTTAACAGAAACTGTGTCTGGGACTCCGTTTGTGTTTTGGAAAATGTCGGTGACACGGGCCGTTGGCCAAAGGGAGCGCGGGGTGTTAGGATCAAAGAGAAGGACAAATTCTCCCTCCTTAGGCCAACGACCGTTGGAATTGGCCAATTTTTTGTATTGCTCTCTCAGAGAGAGCAAATAATCATCTTTCCACTTGGACCAAAAATTTTTTGCACAATTAGAAATGGAAGACCAAAGACCTAGGATTGTATCAACATTTGGCGGGTCTTCATTTGGGAGGTTTAAATTTGAATTGTCAATTGAAAGGGCAGGTGGCAAATTACTACAGTAATCTAACGGACGGAAAAAATCCAAAGGCCTCAAGGGTCGGGCCTCTACTGGATTGGCTGAGTCGAAAGTGATAGGCCGGGAATTGATAATGAACTCTATTTCTGTAATTATCGTTTGGATATGTTCGGGCGAGTATATGTGGGGAATTGTACCTTTAGAGAGGGTTCGGCGCAAATGTGATTTTATCAGAGCTACCATACGCTCATAGTGGCCTCCTTTCCATGGGGCAAACGGTACACGAAGATTCCACTCAATATGGGCATAATTCGAGGTTTCTTTCAACATTTTACGGAATGAGACAAAAGTAGGGGCTTGGTCAGAATATACGGTGGTAGGGATGCCAAATTTAGCAGAAAATCGCCGGAAGGCCAAAACAAATGTGGGGCCTGACTGGTCCTTCATCAAATCTAAGGACAAGGCTCGGGTCGTGAGACAAACCCACAGAATAATCCAGTATTTACTTGTAGGTATTTTTGATCGGACAGTTTTCTTTATACCTTCGGAATTGGAACAATAAAGCGGTCCACAAAAATCTACGCCAACTGAAAGGAAGGGCCGAGATTGCCTCACTCGGCCAATCGGAAGCTGGGGAAATGGGGGTATGTTATACGGTATGGCGTTAAAACGGCGGCAAGGAAGACATTGGGTGTGAATCGCTCTCGAAACAATGCGTCTTCCTCGGGGAATCCAGTATTGTCTTCTGATAAAGGAGAGAGTGGAGAGGGGGCTACTGTGATGATTTAACAGGTGAGTCTCGTAAATTATTAATTTAGTCAGATCTGAGTGAGGGGGGAGGTAAATGGGCTCTTTAGTTGAAATCGGGAGGGAGCTATTTCCAAGCCTTCCTTTGGAACGAATTATTCCATCATTATCGTTAAACAGCCCTAAGGCTTCATTTTCTCGGTCTGGGGGTGGAAAACGGGACTGCTCTTGCTTTATTAGAAAATTGAGGGATTGACGAATCTCTGAAAAGGTTATTTCAAAATTATGGAATATAAACGAAGTTATCTCGTTTCCGGAATTAAGTTTCAAAAAATGATTACCCAACAAAGTTTCAACAAAAATTTTATTTCCAACAAAAATTCAACAATTTAACTTAACAAAACACAAAAATATTTTCTTTGCAAAAATTAAACAGATGCACGAAAAAATGGGGGGAAAACAGGACAATTTATTTTCAACTGCAAAAAAATCCAAAACTGAGAAAACTGAATAACACCCAAAAACTGAATAATTATTTTTGTTAGGAAATAGAAAAAAAGGGACAAAAGGGCGGGGAAAGGCCAATTTGCATTATTTCATTTGAGCGGGCCAAAAAATATTTAAAGAAAAATGATGACAATTCTTTTGGCCAAAGATTAATATAAAATAAATATTTCAAATCTAAAAGATTTGACATTCGGGGGAAACCAAAAACTGGATGAGGACATAAGGGAGATTGAAAAAAAATTGGTTTAAAGCTGGTGAGGGACGGGCGGGGAGGTACGTTTGAAATTAAATAAATTTTACGGTATTGGTACATCTATGGTTTTCCTTTATCTTCATTGATTATTCGTCCCCTGTTGAATTCATTTTGAGTTCCAACTTCATTCTTTAGGCCATAACATATTGTCAAGAGATGCAACGGTGAGAAAAGAGAGTAAATTTTGGGAATTAGTTTTTACATTTAAATATATTATTACCGGTTTTGGATACCACTGTAGTTAGATAAGGGGGAACGGAAGTGTTGGATTTCGTAGTGACCATTTCAGTAAGATTCATAACATATTGTGTATTAGTCCATTTAGTCCAAAACATATTGAGCCAGAGCAACAATTAATGGGATTTTCCAACAGAAGGAATATAAAGGATTTGAAAAGATGGTATCGGTGGGAATTGGGCTTATAGTTTATATTCATAAATTCAATCTCGATACGGGGGGAGAATTCAGGAGTAAAGGTATTTATTGAGGGGGGACTTTGCAATATTCTAGGGATAGAGCCATTGTAATCTTTAGAAAAATCATTTTCATTTAATACAAAAGAAAAGGTAGTACAGGGAAATATTAAATTCTTACCTGAGTCATTCTCGTTTTCGTCTTTCGGTTCGAAAAGAGGATATTTGATTTTATCTAATGGGGGATTTCCAAAATCTATAATATATATCAGAGGAATATTGGCAAGGGGTGGCGATTTAATTTCATAAATACTTGATGACTTTCGGGCTTTTAATTTTAACAATTTATTTTTAAAACTGCGGGAAAAAAAGGGATTATCTTTAACAAAATCCTCAGACAATGATTTTATTCTCTTAAAGTCGGAATTTCTCAAATTTACAAATTTCTTTCCTTTTAATTCTTTAGAGGAAGGGTTATTATCTCTCGTAAATGTTTCAAAGGGTAATGTCACATTATAACAGTAAGTATGAGTACTAATCGAGTCAGGACTTTTGGTTGGGGCTCGGGTGTCGTTGATCGTATTAAAAGGGTTTTCATTTAATCCAACAGATTTTTCTTCCTCAAAACTTACCCTTATAATTTGGGTAGTTAATACAATTTCTTCATAATTAGTAATGTTGTCCATTACTTTCTTTTCTTCAAATATATCTTCTGATGTAGGAATATAATTATTTTTGGATGAAATGGGATTTTGTGAATTATTATCATAGCAAATGGGAGGGTCATGGAATGAAGCAAAAGGAAGATTATTAATTAGAATATGTTGAGATTCTTCCGAATTAATTTGTTGCATGTCTTCTTTATATTCTTCATTTATAAGTTCTGGTAGTTGAATTAATTCTTCACAAATAGTGTCATTAAAGTTCTCAGAATTATTTTTATTAGTAGGAATACAAATCTCTTCTAGAGGTTCAAAGCCGGGAGGTGGTCCAATGGAAATTTCATTATAATTATTAGATTTACAAGCTGTCAGGTTATACTCAAAAAATTGGGAGCCAGAGATATCATTCGTTTCATTTTTTAAAGCAACCGATGGATTGGCATAAGATTGTTCTGTAATATTGGGATAGGAACTAGTTTGAGAACTAGTGGCTGGGTTTCGATGAGGGTGATCATTGAGATTATTATATTGTGGGTTTGGAGGGCTTTTAAGCATTTCATTAACAAGCTTATTATGAGAATTATTCTGAGAAGGGTTTGAGGTTTGTAAACATTCATGGGACAAATTTAATTCCGGGAGGCGATAAAATTGTGAAAGATGTAATAACTGTGATGTGGGTTTTGGGAGAGCCTCTTCTAAATTAGATCGGGCTGTACGTAATGTTCTGTTATATCGTTTAAGGTCATGCATAATTTTGATATAGAAAGTCTCTTGTAGGAATGTATCATATATGGGAGTATCTTGGGCTCTTTCGGATTCTGTCATAGAAAGTCTTAGGGACATCCAACCATTATGTGCAGTTGTTAGGTTTTTCAAGATCTTGGAAGTGATCTTTTGAATAATATCGAGGGATTTGATTGTTTCTTGGACACAATTTTGGAATTCTTTTTCGGAGTTTTGAGGATTCTTTATAGGAAGGGGGAACTGTTTATTTTCTCGTAGAATTAATTCGGCATCGGTACATATTTGAGTAATTTGTTTTCGAAAGGTAAGAGACATTGTAAATATTATTTAAAGTAAGTAAATATTATGAGTTGAAATTTAAATGTGTTCGTTTGAATGAAATATTATAATTTAAAGTGGAAAATTAACGTTTAAAAGCAATAAATAACTGGGACTTTAAAATCAAAAAATATATTTCTGAAACGGGAGGATTAAAAAATTGGGATCTTCACCGGCTGAGCTGTCTCGGAAACGAAGTTATCTCGTTTCCGGAATTAAGTTTCAAAAAATGATTACCCAACAAAGTTTCAACAAAAATTTTATTTCCAACAAAAATTCAACAATTTAACTTAACAAAACACAAAAATATTTTCTTTGCAAAAATTAAACAGATGTCAAATCTTCTAGATTTGAAAAATATTTTTATATTTATTAACCTTTGGCCGAAAAATAAAATTTGTCATCATTTTTCTTCAAATATTTTTGGCCCGCTCAAATTGGCCTATCCCCGCCCTTTTGTCCCCTTTTTGCTATTTTTCTATAAAATACAATTTTTTAATGTTTTTATTCAGTTATTCAGTGTTATTCAGTTTTCTCAGTTTTGGATTTTTTTGCAGTTGAAAATAAATTGTCCTGTTTTCCCCCCATTTTTTCGTGCATCTGTGTCTCGGAAACGAAGTTATCTCGTTTCCGGAATTAAGTTTCAAAAAATGATTACCCAACAAAGTTTCAACAAAAATTTTATTTCCAACAAAAATTCAACAATTTAACTTAACAAAACACAAAAATATTTTCTTTGCAAAAATTAAACAGATGCACGAAAAAATGGGGGGAAAACAGGACAATTTATTTTCAACTGCAAAAAAATCCAAAACTGAGAAAACTGAATAACACTGAATAACTGAATAAAAACATTAAAAAATTGTATTTTATAGAAAAATAGCAAAAAGGGGACAAAAGGGCGGGGATAGGCCAATTTGAGCGGGCCAAAAATATTTGAAGAAAAATGATGACAAATTTTATTTTTCGGCCAAAGGTTAATAAATATAAAAATATTTTTCAAATCTAGAAGATTTGACATTCGGGAGCCCAAAAAAAAATTTAGATGAAGGCATAGGGTAAATGGGGGAATATGGGTTTAGGTTTTGGTGCAGGGACGGGTGGGGGAGGTCCGTGAGGGAATTTGATAAAATTCAACGGTATTGGTCCATCTATCTTCTTTTCCATCAACGGCTCAATTCTTCCAAATTTCTTCGGAACCATCAAATTTTTCACTCGGCCAGATGGTAGTATACGGACACGTGAATGAATGCTGGGGCGTTGACGGAATCGATTCTGTGCCAATGTTGAATTGTAATACATATTTTTAAAAGGGGGAAATTTAGGTTTGTATGGTTTATTGGTTATAACCTGTGAAGGACGTGCAGCAGTGCCAATTTCCAAGATTTCCATTGTTGTATCATTTTTATCTGATGATGTTGGGGGAGGTGGTGGAGGATTTAAGTTAATTGTAGAATTATATTTAACTGGTGAAGGTTGTTGAACAGAAATAGGTGGAGGTGGTGCAGAATTTAAATTAATTGTTGCATTATTGTCGTTAGTGGTTGGGAGAGAGGACTCAATAGTGGCGGGGGGTGCAATTTCTTGATTATGGGACATTACTATTGGGACTTTTGGATTTATCTTTAAATGTGAAAGCATAATAATCAATGGGGGGCGAACTTTCTTATTAGGGTTGGATTTTACGGGCATCTAAAAATATACTTTAAAAAACGCTAATTTCGAATTGGGGGGACAGTACGTTGTACAATTTCGTCTAAAGTATTTTGAAATTGGGTTAATTCTGTTGGTGGAATTGGTGAGGTGGTGGGGTGGAAAGCACGATAAATCTTTAAAATAAATTTAACAATAAGGAGTATGGCTATAATTAACGTGGTTCCAAAAATAGAGACAAATATAGCCGACAGTTCGGGTTCCTCGGAAATGTAACGAACCAATGAATCTAAACCAAGGTATAGGGCTGTGGTACTTAATATAGGAAGTGTTGATTTTGCGACTGGTTTTGCAATTTTCTTAATAAGGGGGCGAGATTTTGGATAACTTTCCGTAGGGATAGCGAGTAAAAGAAGACAAAGGATTACCAACATAGACGGAGGGGGAATCCATTGGGAGCGAGGTCTTGCTTTAATTTTATTTTCAAAGAGGCTATATAAGAGCCGGAATATAATTGAGAGGAGGATCAGTGAAATTCCTATTAGAATTAAAGTCATAATCAGGTGTGGTGTTTCGGGCTGTTGGACAAAAATTGGAAAATTTAGAGAGATTACTTCAACGGATAAAACGCTTCCCATTAATGAAAAATTATTTTAAAAAAGCTATGAAATAAAATGATTTTAAATAAAAAGGGGGTGAAGGGATGGGACATCTTTACTTTCGCAAAACCCGCCTATTTCTCAACTGTAAATAATTTTGGGCAGGAGAAGGAGGAGGTGAATTAACATATTGTGCTCCCTTATTCGTGTTTTGTAAGGGTGGCTCAACATCTTTTGTAATTTGGGGAGGGGAAGCATCTCTTTTGTCAGAGCAACAATTTAATTCAAGGGGGTATATGTGTGCAATTGAACGGGTTGTTTGTCGGCCTGAGTGGCTCAGCTTAACAGAAACTGTGTCTGGGACTCCGTTTGTGTTTGGGAAAATGTCGGTGTCACGGGCCGTTGGCCAAAGGGAGCGCGGGGTGTTTGGATCAAAAAGAAGGACAAATTCTCCCTCCTTAGGCCAACAACCGTTGGAATTGGCCAATTTTTTGTGTTGCTCTCTCAGTGAGAGCAAATAATCATCTTTCCACTTGGACCAAAAAATTTTTGCACAATTAGAAATGGAAGACCAAAGACCTAGGATTGTATCAACATTTGGCGGGTCTTCGTTTGGGAGGTTTAAATTTGAATTGTCAATTGAAAGGGCAGGTGGCAAATTGCTACAGTAATCCAATGGACGGAAAAAATCCAAAGGCCTCAAGGGTCGAGCCTCTACTGGATTGGCTGAGTCGAAAGTGATAGGCCGGGAATTGATAATGAACTCTATTTCTGTAATTATCGTTTGGATATGTTCGGGCGAGTATATATGGCCCTTTCAATTGACAATTCAAATTTAAACCTCCCAAACGAAGACCCGCCAAATGTTGATACAATCCTAGGTCTTTGGTCTTCCATTTCTAATTGTGCAAAAATTTTTTGGTCCAAGTGGAAAGATGATTATTTGCTCTCACTGAGAGAGCAACACAAAAAATTGGCCAATTCCAACGGTTGTTGGCCTAAGGAGGGAGAATTTGTCCTTCTTTTTGATCCAAACACCCCGCGCTCCCTTTGGCCAACGGCCCGTGTCACCGACATTTTCCCAAACACAAACGGAGTCCCAGACACAGTTTCTGTTAAGCTGAGCCACTCAGGCCGACAAACAACCCGTTCAATTGCACACATATACCCCCTTGAATTAAATTGTTGCTCTGACAAAAGAGATGCTTCCCCTCCCCAAATTACAAAAGATGTTGAGCCACCCTTACAAAACACGAATAAGGGAGCACAATATGTTAATTCACCTCCTCCTTCTCCTGCCCAAAATTATTTACAGTTGAGAAATAGGCGGGTTTTGCGAAAGTAAAGATGTCCCATCCCTTCACCCCCTTTTTATTTAAAATCATTTTATTTCATAGCTTTTTTAAAATAATTTTTCATTAATGGGAAGCGTTTTATCCGTTGAAGTAATCTCTCTAAATTTTCCAATTTTTGTCCAACAGCCCGAAACACCACACCTGATTATGACTTTAATTCTAATAGGAATTTCACTGATCCTCCTCTCAATTATATTCCGGCTCTTATATAGCCTCTTTGAAAATAAAATTAAAGCAAGACCTCGCTCCCAATGGATTCCCCCTCCGTCTATGTTGGTAATCCTTTGTCTTCTTTTACTCGCTATCCCTACGGAAAGTTATCCAAAATCTCGCCCCCTTATTAAGAAAATTGCAAAACCAGTCGCAAAATCAACACTTCCTATATTAAGTACCACAGCCCTATACCTTGGTTTAGATTCATTGGTTCGTTACATTTCCGAGGAACCCGAACTGTCGGCTATATTTGTCTCTATTTTTGGAACCACGTTAATTATAGCCATACTCCTTATTGTTAAATTTATTTTAAAGATTTATCGTGCTTTCCACCCCACCACCTCACCAATTCCACCAACAGAATTAACCCAATTTCAAAATACTTTAGACGAAATTGTACAACGTACTGTCCCCCCAATTCGAAATTAGCGTTTTTTAAAGTATATTTTTAGATGCCCGTAAAATCCAACCCTAATAAGAAAGTTCGCCCCCCATTGATTATTATGCTTTCACATTTAAAGATAAATCCAAAAGTCCCAATAGTAATGTCCCATAATCAAGAAATTGCACCCCCCGCCACTATTGAGTCCTCTCTCCCAACCACTAACGACAATAATGCAACAATTAATTTAAATTCTGCACCACCTCCACCTATTTCTGTTCAACAACCTTCACCAGTTAAATATAATTCTACAATTAACTTAAATCCTCCACCACCTCCCCCAACATCATCAGATAAAAATGATACAACAATGGAAATCTTGGAAATTGGCACTGCTGCACGTCCTTCACAGGTTATAACCAATAAACCATACAAACCTAAATTTCCCCCTTTTAAAAATATGTATTACAATTCAACATTGGCACAGAATCGATTCCGTCAACGCCCCAGCATTCATTCACGTGTCCGTATACTACCATCTGGCCGAGTGAAAAATTTGATGGTTCCGAAGAAATTTGGAAGAATTGAGCCGTTGATGGAAAAGAAGATAGATGGACCAATACCGTTGAATTTTATCAAATTCCCTCACGGACCTCCCCCACCCGTCCCTGCACCAAAACCTAAACCCATATTCCCCCATTTACCCTATGCCTTCATCTAAATTTTTTTTTGGGCTCCCGAATGTCAAATCTTCTAGATTTGAAAAATATTTTTATATTTATTAACCTTTGGCCGAAAAATAAAATTTGTCATCATTTTTCTTCAAATATTTTTGGCCCGCTCAAATTGGCCTATCCCCGCCCTTTTGTCCCCTTTTTGCTATTTTTCTATAAAATACAATTTTTTAATGTTTTTATTCAGTTATTCAGTGTTATTCAGTTTTCTCAGTTTTGGATTTTTTTGCAGTTGAAAATAAATTGTCCTGTTTTCCCCCCATTTTTTCGTGCATCTGTTTAATTTTTGCAAAGAAAATATTTTTGTGTTTTGTTAAGTTAAATTGTTGAATTTTTGTTGGAAATAAAATTTTTGTTGAAACTTTGTTGGGTAATCATTTTTTGAAACTTAATTCCGGAAACGAGATAACTTCGTTTCCGAGACACAGATGCACGAAAAAATGGGGGAGAATTGGGGGGAAATACAAAAATGGGGGGAAATACAAAAGAAAAGGTAGTACAGGGAAATATTAAATTCTTACCTGAGTCATTCTCGTTTTCGTCTTTCGGTTCGAAAAGAGGATATTTGATTTTATCTAATGGGGGATTTCCAAAATCTATAATATATATCAGAGGAATATTGGCAAGGGGTGGCGATTTAATTTCATAAATACTTGATGACTTTCGGGCTTTTAATTTTAACAATTTATTTTTAAAACTGCGGGAAAAAAAGGGATTATCTTTAACAAAATCCTCAGACAATGATTTTATTCTCTTAAAGTCGGAATTTCTCAAATTTACAAATTTCTTTCCTTTTAATTCTTTAGAGGAAGGGTTATTATCTCTCGTAAATGTTTCAAAGGGTAATGTCACATTATAACAGTAAGTATGAGTACTAATCGAGTCAGGACTTTTGGTTGGGGCTCGGGTGTCGTTGATCGTATTAAAAGGGTTTTCATTTAATCCAACAGATTTTTCTTCCTCAAAACTTACCCTTATAATTTGGGTAGTTAATACAATTTCTTCATAATTAGTAATGTTGTCCATTACTTTCTTTTCTTCAAATATATCTTCTGATGTAGGAATATAATTATTTTTGGATGAAATGGGATTTTGTGAATTATTATCATAGCAAATGGGAGGGTCATGGAATGAAGCAAAAGGAAGATTATTAATTAGAATATGTTGAGATTCTTCCGAATTAATTTGTTGCATGTCTTCTTTATATTCTTCATTTATAAGTTCTGGTAGTTGAATTAATTCTTCACAAATAGTGTCATTAAAGTTCTCAGAATTATTTTTATTAGTAGGAATACAAATCTCTTCTAGAGGTTCAAAGCCGGGAGGTGGTCCAATGGAAATTTCATTATAATTATTAGATTTACAAGCTGTCAGGTTATACTCAAAAAATTGGGAGCCAGAGATATCATTCGTTTCATTTTTTAAAGCAACCGATGGATTGGCATAAGATTGTTCTGTAATATTGGGATAGGAACTAGTTTGAGAACTAGTGGCTGGGTTTCGATGAGGGTGATCATTGAGATTATTATATTGTGGGTTTGGAGGGCTTTTAAGCATTTCATTAACAAGCTTATTATGAGAATTATTCTGAGAAGGGTTTGAGGTTTGTAAACATTCATGGGACAAATTTAATTCCGGGAGGCGATAAAATTGTGAAAGATGTAATAACTGTGATGTGGGTTTTGGGAGAGCCTCTTCTAAATTAGATCGGGCTGTACGTAATGTTCTGTTATATCGTTTAAGGTCATGCATAATTTTGATATAGAAAGTCTCTTGTAGGAATGTATCATATATGGGAGTATCTTGGGCTCTTTCGGATTCTGTCATAGAAAGTCTTAGGGACATCCAACCATTATGTGCAGTTGTTAGGTTTTTCAAGATCTTGGAAGTGATCTTTTGAATAATATCGAGGGATTTGATTGTTTCTTGGACACAATTTTGGAATTCTTTTTCGGAGTTTTGAGGATTCTTTATAGGAAGGGGGAACTGTTTATTTTCTCGTAGAATTAATTCGGCATCGGTACATATTTGAGTAATTTGTTTTCGAAAGGTAAGAGACATTGTAAATATTATTTAAAGTAAGTAAATATTATGAGTTGAAATTTAAATGTGTTCGTTTGAATGAAATATTATAATTTAAAGTGGAAAATTAACGTTTAAAAGCAATAAATAACTGGGACTTTAAAATCAAAAAATATATTTCTGAAACGGGAGGATTAAAAAATTGGGATCTTCACCGGCTGAGCTGTCTCGGAAACGAAGTTATCTCGTTTCCGGAATTAAGTTTCAAAAAATGATTACCCAACAAAGTTTCAACAAAAATTTTATTTCCAACAAAAATTCAACAATTTAACTTAACAAAACACAAAAATATTTTCTTTGCAAAAATTAAACAGATGTCAAATCTTCTAGATTTGAAAAATATTTTTATATTTATTAACCTTTGGCCGAAAAATAAAATTTGTCATCATTTTTCTTCAAATATTTTTGGCCCGCTCAAATTGGCCTATCCCCGCCCTTTTGTCCCCTTTTTGCTATTTTTCTATAAAATACAATTTTTTAATGTTTTTATTCAGTTATTCAGTGTTATTCAGTTTTCTCAGTTTTGGATTTTTTTGCAGTTGAAAATAAATTGTCCTGTTTTCCCCCCATTTTTTCGTGCATCTGTGTCTCGGAAACGAAGTTATCTCGTTTCCGGAATTAAGTTTCAAAAAATGATTACCCAACAAAGTTTCAACAAAAATTTTATTTCCAACAAAAATTCAACAATTTAACTTAACAAAACACAAAAATATTTTCTTTGCAAAAATTAAACAGATGCACGAAAAAATGGGGGGAAAACAGGACAATTTATTTTCAACTGCAAAAAAATCCAAAACTGAGAAAACTGAATAACACTGAATAACTGAATAAAAACATTAAAAAATTGTATTTTATAGAAAAATAGCAAAAAGGGGACAAAAGGGCGGGGATAGGCCAATTTGAGCGGGCCAAAAATATTTGAAGAAAAATGATGACAAATTTTATTTTTCGGCCAAAGGTTAATAAATATAAAAATATTTTTCAAATCTAGAAGATTTGACATTCGGGAGCCCAAAAAAAAATTTAGATGAAGGCATAGGGTAAATGGGGGAATATGGGTTTAGGTTTTGGTGCAGGGACGGGTGGGGGAGGTCCGTGAGGGAATTTGATAAAATTCAACGGTATTGGTCCATCTATCTTCTTTTCCATCAACGGCTCAATTCTTCCAAATTTCTTCGGAACCATCAAATTTTTCACTCGGCCAGATGGTAGTATACGGACACGTGAATGAATGCTGGGGCGTTGACGGAATCGATTCTGTGCCAATGTTGAATTGTAATACATATTTTTAAAAGGGGGAAATTTAGGTTTGTATGGTTTATTGGTTATAACCTGTGAAGGACGTGCAGCAGTGCCAATTTCCAAGATTTCCATTGTTGTATCATTTTTATCTGATGATGTTGGGGGAGGTGGTGGAGGATTTAAGTTAATTGTAGAATTATATTTAACTGGTGAAGGTTGTTGAACAGAAATAGGTGGAGGTGGTGCAGAATTTAAATTAATTGTTGCATTATTGTCGTTAGTGGTTGGGAGAGAGGACTCAATAGTGGCGGGGGGTGCAATTTCTTGATTATGGGACATTACTATTGGGACTTTTGGATTTATCTTTAAATGTGAAAGCATAATAATCAATGGGGGGCGAACTTTCTTATTAGGGTTGGATTTTACGGGCATCTAAAAATATACTTTAAAAAACGCTAATTTCGAATTGGGGGGACAGTACGTTGTACAATTTCGTCTAAAGTATTTTGAAATTGGGTTAATTCTGTTGGTGGAATTGGTGAGGTGGTGGGGTGGAAAGCACGATAAATCTTTAAAATAAATTTAACAATAAGGAGTATGGCTATAATTAACGTGGTTCCAAAAATAGAGACAAATATAGCCGACAGTTCGGGTTCCTCGGAAATGTAACGAACCAATGAATCTAAACCAAGGTATAGGGCTGTGGTACTTAATATAGGAAGTGTTGATTTTGCGACTGGTTTTGCAATTTTCTTAATAAGGGGGCGAGATTTTGGATAACTTTCCGTAGGGATAGCGAGTAAAAGAAGACAAAGGATTACCAACATAGACGGAGGGGGAATCCATTGGGAGCGAGGTCTTGCTTTAATTTTATTTTCAAAGAGGCTATATAAGAGCCGGAATATAATTGAGAGGAGGATCAGTGAAATTCCTATTAGAATTAAAGTCATAATCAGGTGTGGTGTTTCGGGCTGTTGGACAAAAATTGGAAAATTTAGAGAGATTACTTCAACGGATAAAACGCTTCCCATTAATGAAAAATTATTTTAAAAAAGCTATGAAATAAAATGATTTTAAATAAAAAGGGGGTGAAGGGATGGGACATCTTTACTTTCGCAAAACCCGCCTATTTCTCAACTGTAAATAATTTTGGGCAGGAGAAGGAGGAGGTGAATTAACATATTGTGCTCCCTTATTCGTGTTTTGTAAGGGTGGCTCAACATCTTTTGTAATTTGGGGAGGGGAAGCATCTCTTTTGTCAGAGCAACAATTTAATTCAAGGGGGTATATGTGTGCAATTGAACGGGTTGTTTGTCGGCCTGAGTGGCTCAGCTTAACAGAAACTGTGTCTGGGACTCCGTTTGTGTTTGGGAAAATGTCGGTGACACGGGCCGTTGGCCAAAGGGAGCGCGGGGTGTTTGGATCAAAAAGAAGGACAAATTCTCCCTCCTTAGGCCAACAACCGTTGGAATTGGCCAATTTTTTGTGTTGCTCTCTCAGTGAGAGCAAATAATCATCTTTCCACTTGGACCAAAAAATTTTTGCACAATTAGAAATGGAAGACCAAAGACCTAGGATTGTATCAACATTTGGCGGGTCTTCGTTTGGGAGGTTTAAATTTGAATTGTCAATTGAAAGGGCAGGTGGCAAATTGCTACAGTAATCCAATGGACGGAAAAAATCCAAAGGCCTCAAGGGTCGAGCCTCTACTGGATTGGCTGAGTCGAAAGTGATAGGCCGGGAATTGATAATGAACTCTATTTCTGTAATTATCGTTTGGATATGTTCGGGCGAGTATATATGGCCCTTTCAATTGACAATTCAAATTTAAACCTCCCGAACATATCCAAACGATAATTACAGAAATAGAGTTCATTATCAATTCCCGGCCTATCACTTTCGACTCAGCCAATCCAGTAGAGGCTCGACCCTTGAGGCCTTTGGATTTTTTCCGTCCATTGGATTACTGTAGCAATTTGCCACCTGCCCTTTCAATTGACAATTCAAATTTAAACCTCCCAAACGAAGACCCGCCAAATGTTGATACAATCCTAGGTCTTTGGTCTTCCATTTCTAATTGTGCAAAAATTTTTTGGTCCAAGTGGAAAGATGATTATTTGCTCTCACTGAGAGAGCAACACAAAAAATTGGCCAATTCCAACGGTTGTTGGCCTAAGGAGGGAGAATTTGTCCTTCTTTTTGATCCAAACACCCCGCGCTCCCTTTGGCCAACGGCCCGTGTCACCGACATTTTCCCAAACACAAACGGAGTCCCAGACACAGTTTCTGTTAAGCTGAGCCACTCAGGCCGACAAACAACCCGTTCAATTGCACACATATACCCCCTTGAATTAAATTGTTGCTCTGACAAAAGAGATGCTTCCCCTCCCCAAATTACAAAAGATGTTGAGCCACCCTTACAAAACACGAATAAGGGAGCACAATATGTTAATTCACCTCCTCCTTCTCCTGCCCAAAATTATTTACAGTTGAGAAATAGGCGGGTTTTGCGAAAGTAAAGATGTCCCATCCCTTCACCCCCTTTTTATTTAAAATCATTTTATTTCATAGCTTTTTTAAAATAATTTTTCATTAATGGGAAGCGTTTTATCCGTTGAAGTAATCTCTCTAAATTTTCCAATTTTTGTCCAACAGCCCGAAACACCACACCTGATTATGACTTTAATTCTAATAGGAATTTCACTGATCCTCCTCTCAATTATATTCCGGCTCTTATATAGCCTCTTTGAAAATAAAATTAAAGCAAGACCTCGCTCCCAATGGATTCCCCCTCCGTCTATGTTGGTAATCCTTTGTCTTCTTTTACTCGCTATCCCTACGGAAAGTTATCCAAAATCTCGCCCCCTTATTAAGAAAATTGCAAAACCAGTCGCAAAATCAACACTTCCTATATTAAGTACCACAGCCCTATACCTTGGTTTAGATTCATTGGTTCGTTACATTTCCGAGGAACCCGAACTGTCGGCTATATTTGTCTCTATTTTTGGAACCACGTTAATTATAGCCATACTCCTTATTGTTAAATTTATTTTAAAGATTTATCGTGCTTTCCACCCCACCACCTCACCAATTCCACCAACAGAATTAACCCAATTTCAAAATACTTTAGACGAAATTGTACAACGTACTGTCCCCCCAATTCGAAATTAGCGTTTTTTAAAGTATATTTTTAGATGCCCGTAAAATCCAACCCTAATAAGAAAGTTCGCCCCCCATTGATTATTATGCTTTCACATTTAAAGATAAATCCAAAAGTCCCAATAGTAATGTCCCATAATCAAGAAATTGCACCCCCCGCCACTATTGAGTCCTCTCTCCCAACCACTAACGACAATAATGCAACAATTAATTTAAATTCTGCACCACCTCCACCTATTTCTGTTCAACAACCTTCACCAGTTAAATATAATTCTACAATTAACTTAAATCCTCCACCACCTCCCCCAACATCATCAGATAAAAATGATACAACAATGGAAATCTTGGAAATTGGCACTGCTGCACGTCCTTCACAGGTTATAACCAATAAACCATACAAACCTAAATTTCCCCCTTTTAAAAATATGTATTACAATTCAACATTGGCACAGAATCGATTCCGTCAACGCCCCAGCATTCATTCACGTGTCCGTATACTACCATCTGGCCGAGTGAAAAATTTGATGGTTCCGAAGAAATTTGGAAGAATTGAGCCGTTGATGGAAAAGAAGATAGATGGACCAATACCGTTGAATTTTATCAAATTCCCTCACGGACCTCCCCCACCCGTCCCTGCACCAAAACCTAAACCCATATTCCCCCATTTACCCTATGCCTTCATCTAAATTTTTTTTTGGGCTCCCGAATGTCAAATCTTCTAGATTTGAAAAATATTTTTATATTTATTAACCTTTGGCCGAAAAATAAAATTTGTCATCATTTTTCTTCAAATATTTTTGGCCCGCTCAAATTGGCCTATCCCCGCCCTTTTGTCCCCTTTTTGCTATTTTTCTATAAAATACAATTTTTTAATGTTTTTATTCAGTTATTCAGTGTTATTCAGTTTTCTCAGTTTTGGATTTTTTTGCAGTTGAAAATAAATTGTCCTGTTTTCCCCCCATTTTTTCGTGCATCTGTTTAATTTTTGCAAAGAAAATATTTTTGTGTTTTGTTAAGTTAAATTGTTGAATTTTTGTTGGAAATAAAATTTTTGTTGAAACTTTGTTGGGTAATCATTTTTTGAAACTTAATTCCGGAAACGAGATAACTTCGTTTCCGAGACACAGATGCACGAAAAAATGGGGGGAAAACAGGACAATTTATTTTCAACTGCAAAAAAATCCAAAACTGAGAAAACTGAATAACACTGAATAACTGAATAAAAACATTAAAAAATTGTATTTTATAGAAAAATAGCAAAAAGGGGACAAAAGGGCGGGGATAGGCCAATTTGAGCGGGCCAAAAATATTTGAAGAAAAATGATGACAAATTTTATTTTTCGGCCAAAGGTTAATAAATATAAAAATATTTTTCAAATCTAGAAGATTTGACATCTGTTTAATTTTTGCAAAGAAAATATTTTTGTGTTTTGTTAAGTTAAATTGTTGAATTTTTGTTGGAAATAAAATTTTTGTTGAAACTTTGTTGGGTAATCATTTTTTGAAACTTAATTCCGGAAACGAGATAACTTCGTTTCCGAGACAGCTCAGCCGGTGAAGATCCCAATTTTTTAATCCTCCCGTTTCAGAAATATATTTTTTGATTTTAAAGTCCCAGTTATTTATTGCTTTTAAACGTTAATTTTCCACTTTAAATTATAATATTTCATTCAAACGAACACATTTAAATTTCAACTCATAATATTTACTTACTTTAAATAATATTTACAATGTCTCTTACCTTTCGAAAACAAATTACTCAAATATGTACCGATGCCGAATTAATTCTACGAGAAAATAAACAGTTCCCCCTTCCTATAAAGAATCCTCAAAACTCCGAAAAAGAATTCCAAAATTGTGTCCAAGAAACAATCAAATCCCTCGAATCTACAGTTAACATTTTAATCAAAAATCAAATGTGAAATAAACTTGAACTAAATTACAAAAAAAATTTCATTTTCTTGTTTTTTAATTTTTGGTCTTCTAATTTAAACGAATTTATTTTCTGGCATTTCTAATTGAGCGAATTAAAAGAAAAAAAAATAAATTTTGGACGAATATATTTCAATAATCGTAAATTTTCTTTCAAAAATTCTTTATTGCTAATTCTCAAAAAAAGGTTAGGGGGAAAATTTAATTGCTTAAATGTAGACAATTTATCAACTATTTATCATAGCACTACATATCCCATTTAGTCTCGATTCAATTAAGCTTTGTTGTCGGGAGTCGGGAGTTCCCGACAAATTGGTTTTGAAGAAAAAGAGAGTCGTGGCACCAGCCAGTGTAGAGTGGCACTGGCACCAGACTGTTGGTAGTGCCAACAGTCAAAGGAGAAGGGCAGTAGAGTGACTCGGAGCACGAGTCACTTTAGCCAAGGAGTAGACGTGGTGAACAGTAGTGCCGTTCACTTTTTTACAACCAAAAACACGAAGAAAGACCAGTTGAACACGACGAGTAAAATCCACCAAGAACGAGAATTCACACTGAGCACTGATTTAGAACAGTCGACTCAGTGGACCAAGTAGTGAACCAGGGCACGGTTGGTTCACTCTTAAAAACACCACAGGAACCACGCACAGTCCAAGCAAGTAAAATTTATTCCACAAATAAAAAATCCAACAATTGAACACGATAAGGCCAATGAGAAGTCCACAGGCAAGCCACTAAGTTGATCCGTAAAATAGATGTAGAATGGAAGGATGAAGGATAAATTTTAAGGCTTGCCCGCCGACTTAAATAGAGATTAAAAAGGGGCGGGGTTTGACAAAAAACTCAAAAAATTGCGAAATTGAAAATAATTCCTACAGAATTATAGAAAACAAAATGTGTAGAAAGAATGGGGCAGAGAAAACAAGCAGAAAAAACAAAAGAAAGAGTAATGAGGTGACAGGAACAAGCTGTCACTAAAAAATAAAGAAAGGAATTTTTGGCGGGAAAAAGGATTGAGTGGACAACAAAAAATTAGGGGTGAACGGCTAAAAAATTAACGAGAAGTGAACGGGGGACAATTAACTAAAAGACAATTCAATGAAAGTCGCCAAATTGGCGACACTCCCCCCGCGCAAGAAAACAAAAGTTCCGTCGAATTCTTCTGCCTTCTTCATGATTAATCACAACCAGTGTTGACGTTACGCCGCATTCCAGAGACAGTTGACGGCATGTTGCGTCGAAACATCTGATTGCGTCCAAGTCGATGACGATGGTGGTGAAGTGCGCTTTCGCTAATTCCCCTTTTTCGAGCTTTTGGTGAGGGGCGGCACTCCGCTACCTGGCCTTCTTGTTGTCGTGCATTCGTGCTAATTTTTCGGACTGAAGAACACTTCGTATTCAGTTGAGCAGTGGCAGCCCCGGTAATTCCAGCTTGACTAACACTCAATGATTTTCCAGCGTCCAAAAAGCTCGTCGATGTGACAGCCGCGGTCGTTCCAGCTTGGTAAGTAGGTAGGACTTTTTCAGCGGCAAACAAGCTCGTTGTCGAGTAGTCGGCAGCGGCGGTAGTTGCATCCATTCTTGCTCGAGCTCTAGTAATCATGTTGTGACATGGTGGTTTTGGTGGATTATCTTTTTTCTCTTTTAGTTTAGTTCGTTGAGGTGATGGTTCCTTGACGGGGTCAGGCGTGGTTGGTATGACAATTTCAACATTTTTACTCGTTTCTAGTGGACACAAACGATTGATCGGTCTGGTTAATATTTTGCCATTTGCCATCAAAACCTTGGCGCTTCTAATGTTGGGTTCTTGACCATTTAATTCGGTAATTCGTCCCAAGGACCAAAGATTGCGAGGACGAAGATCCTCTTCGATTAGCACTACGTCGCCAACCATGGGTATAGATTTATCCAGAGATCGAGGTCCACGGTGCGTCCATCCTGATCTTTCTCGTAATACAAGCAGGTATTCTTTGGTCCACCGAGTCCAGTAATATTCAACAGCTTCCTGAGTGGCACGCCAGTGAATTGCTAACTTTTCATGCGAAGGTAAACGCTTATCCTCGTCGTCCTCCAATTGGGTAGTAGCCAAGTGCATGTCTGCTCCAGGTAACAAAAAATCCATCGGTCGTAGTGGTATTGGGGCTCCTTCAGCATCAGAGACAGTAGTGAGAGGTCGTGAGTTTATACTAGCTTCTGCTTCAGTCAGAAAGGCACTTAAGTCGTCACACGGTAAGATTCGTCGTCCAAGTGTCCGTTGAATTGAATGTTTGACCAAAGCCACTAGGCGCTCGTATATTCCACCTGCCCAAAGGCTAAGCTGCGGTATAAAGTGCCAATCAATTCCAGAACGTGCTGAAAATTCTGCTGGATCGTCTGACATCGCTAGTGTCTTTAGAGCTTTTACTGTTTGCACAAATGTCGGCGCGTTGTCTGAGAGAATTCTTCTAGGCTTTCCTCGTCGGCTGATGAATCGTCTAAGAACATTAATAAACGAAGGTGCACTCAAATCATATGTTGGTTCCAAATAGACCGCTCTGACGGACAAACAAGTAATGATAACAATCCAAACTTTGACAACCACTCCGGCTTGTCGGGCGAGTGTAGGACCAAGATAATCGAGACCAACAGATTCAAAAGGTCGTCTTCGTTGGACTCTATCAGCAGGAAGTGGTGGCATGATAGGTAAGGCATATTTTGGCTTATTCATCAATCGACATCTGGAGCACTGGGAAAGTATCTGCTTAGTCGTTCTTCGCGCTTGAGGTAGGAAGAATTCTCGCAATACTTCAGTAAGAGTCCAGTCCACTCCAGCATGTTTGAGTCGTTGATGCACGTCCAAAATAATTAGAGAAGTAATCCCAGCCTGACGTGGTAACCAAATGGGATTGACAGGAGCACATGACTCGGCGTTCTTATCAATTCTCGTTCTCATTCGAATTATTCCTTCTGGGTCGACCACGATATGTATGCTTTTCATTTCCAATCTGTGTTCACGTTGCGCCAGTCGTATGAGCAAAGAACGAGCAATTCTGTAATCATTTGCAGTAAAAATGCCGTTTGTAGACACACGAGTTGGAAACTGTACACAACGGAGTTTGATGAAACGTAACACCAATATAACTGTTCCAAGCAAGGTAAGCAGTGAGCTAAATCGTTTTGCGTCAAAGATAGGTTCAGCCGGCACTTCGTTCACCACACCAACAAATTGTTCGTCCGAATTCTTGTCGTGTATTATTTCACTCTTAACAGGTAAGTTGAACTCCATTTCGCTAGGCCATTGGTCAGAGGGGGCGTTAATCCAGATTGGTCCGTTCCACCAGAGTTTGGTGTTCATCAATTGAGCTGCGGTGGTTCCGCGTGTCGCTATATCAGCAGGGTTGAAACTAGTGTTCACATAATGGAAGGTCATGTTCTCTTGCTTTCTAATTTCCCGCAGGCGATTCTCCACAAAAACAGGTTGAGTCTCTTTGCTCTTTATCCAGGCCAGGACTATCTGGGAGTCGCACCATAAGTGAGTTGCAGTAATTGAACGATGTATCTGCGCAATAACAAAGGCCGTTGC